ACGACCCCGGCGGCTTGTCGAGCGGATCCGACCCGATGCCGTGCGCGGCGGCGAACTCGACGTTCATCGCCATCGGCGCGCGGTCTCGGACTCGCGGGAACGCGCGCTCGTCCCCGCGCGCGATCTCACTCGCGTCGAACGGCGCGCCGCCGCCGCCGCCCGCGCTCCTCTGGGCCGCGCTCGCGTCGGCGTTCTCGACGGCCGCGGGCGTGGCCGCCGCCGCGGACGACGACGCCTTCTCCGTCGCCCTCGTCCTCGCCGCCGCCGCCGCCGCCGCCTTCTCGACGGCGTCGCCCACGCCGTCGTCGCCCACCACGCGGCTTCCCTCGCGCGTCCCGCCCCCGCCGGGTCCCCGCTCCTTGCCGCTGTGGAACGGCTCTACGCGCGACAGGTCCACGACCCACACGCCGACGAACGAGTTCGAGACGCTCGCGCCGAGTAGCTTTCCCTCGTGCACGCTGACGGTCGTTCCATACAAAGCGATGTCGGGGTGGAGTTGAAAGGCGTCAGATGGAGTTGAAAGGCATCGAGGTCGGGGATTGAAAGCGAGGGTTGAGCGGAGAGAAGCGACGGGAAAAGTCCTTAAGGATCGGCGTTCACCACGCCGACGCGGTCGTATGGGGACCAGTGTATAGAACGCACCTGACGTCCGCGAGTCGCGTCCACGACACGTCCACCGCGTCGCAGCACCGCGCGGGTTCCCACTTCCACACTTTCATGTACCTGTCGATTCGATCGGTTCGGGCGGGGGGAGTCGCGGTCGGTGAGACACGGCGGGCGGGCGTCGAGAGGAAAGCGTTCGCGGGGCGAAGAGAGAAGGACGCGCGCGGACGCGAAGGGAACGCCGCCGGGCAAAGTCCTTAAGGATCGGCGTTCACCACGCGAACGGGGTCGTATGGGGACCAGTGTATAGAACGGGAGGGCGGACGCACTCGCTCGTGCCGGATAAGAACGCGTCGCCGTCCGGGGTGAAGCACCCGGCTCGCACGCCCGTCGCTTCCACGCACTCGTCGACGCACTCGAACGTCTCGAGGTCCCAAAATCGAACCGTGCGATCCGCGCTCGCCGTCGCGACGAGGAGTTCGTTCGGGTGAAACTCCGCGACGGCGACGTCTCCGTCGTGTCTCGGAAACTCCGGGTCGTTCCATACGAAGCGAAGTCGGGGTGGAGTTCAAAGGCGTCAGAAGCGGAGTTGAAAGGCGCCGAGGGCGGGTATTGAAAGCGAGGGATGGGCGGAGAGACGCGCCGGGAAAAGTCCTTAAGGATCGGCGTTCACCACGCCAACGCGGTCGTATGGGAACCAGTGTATAGAACGCACCTCCTTCAGAAGCTTCCCCGCGGTGAGGTCCCAGATCTTCACCCTGCCGTCTTGCCCGCCGCTCAGGACCCACTTCCCGTCCGGGGAGAACTTGCACGTCCCGACGCCGCGATCGTGGCCTTTGTACGTGTGAATGCATCCTTTCCTTCGAATGTCCCAGATCTTCAGGTTGGTGTCCAACGAGCCCGAGGCGAAAAACTCGCCGAACGGGTGAAAGTCCACCGAGACGCAGTTGCTTCGATGCCCCGTCAGCGTGCGCACCACCTTCGCCTCCTCGAGATCCCACAGCTTCAGCGTCCCGCCCGCGGCACCCGCGACGACCACCTCCTCCGCGTTATCGAACGTCACGCACTCGACCGCGCTCTGATGCCCCGTCAGCGACAAGATCGCGGTCGGCTTGCCGATGGCGTACAAGTTCACGCGCTTGTCCTCGCCGCCGGTGACCATGACGCCGCTGGACTTCCGCCCGATCTTCAGGCAGTTCACCGCGCTCGCGTGCGCGGGGAACTCCTGCGCGAGGCGAGGCGACGACGCGCGGGGCGGGGGGGGGACGAGCTCGGCGTCAGCGTCGGCGAGGGAGGGAGGGAAGGACGCGGGTCAACGTCGACGACGGACGCGCGGGTGCCGAGATGCCACGGAGATCTCTCTCCGCGCGGCGCCTCGCGCCGCTCCGCGCGAGGGGGACGGGAGACGGAGGGTGGAGGGAGGGAGTGCGCGACCGACGCGCCTGCAATCGATACGCGCGTTTCACCATCGTCGCGAACCGCGCTCGACGCCGGTCGGCCCCTAAGTCGCCGCGCGCGCGAACTGAACGAAGACACGACGAACGGAGTCACCAACTGGCCCGATTTTTGAAGTCGTGGACATTGCTCTGATTCCCGTCGGGTGGGATTTCCGATCAAAAATGCTGAAAGGGTATTTTTCATCGCAAGAGCCGATCAAAATCTTAACGTTGACGTTGGTACCCCATAACCTGGACATTGTTTTGAAGCAAGATTTTTCCAAGATAGACTCGTTCGACCTGGGGTTACAAGAATCGTCTGAGGCGCGACGCGGGCAGTGCGCAGGCAGCGCGCGTTCGTTCCCGCGACCGCCGCGAACCGAACGCACGCCCGCGCGACCGCAAAACCGCCGACTCCCGCGCGACCGCTTCGAACGCGAGAACCCGCGCGTCGAGCGAGAACCCCGCGGCGAGGGAAGAAAGAAAACAACGATCGAGCGCACGCCCCGTCGCGCGCGTAACACCATCTCGGGCGCGCCCTCGACGACGATCATGGGGCCCGCGCTGAGGGACGAGCACTCGCCGCTCCTGTCGGGGACGAAGCGCCGCGGCTCGCCGCGCGTCGTCTCCCTCGCGCTCGTCGCGATCGCGACGATCGTCGCGACGATCCTCCTCGCCGCGCGCTCGCCCGCGGTCTCCGCGCGGCTGGGCCTCGGATCGCGCGATCAACCCTCCGTCGCGATCTCGACCTCGACGTCGTCGAGCGCGTCGCGCGCGCCTCACCGCGGATGGGGACTGCTCGGTCAGAGCGCGACCGCGCCGCCGTTCGCGTCCGTCGAGGAGGCGGAGGCGTTCGTCGCCGAGAACCCGACCGCGCGCGCGGACTTCACGGCGGCGAGGGAAAAGGTCAAGGCTGCCATGGTGAAAAACAAGGCGCTCTTCAAGGCGGCGAGGACGAAAGGTCTAGCCGCCAAGAAGGCGGCCGAGGACGCGGTCGCCAAGCGCGCGGCGTTCGAGCCTCTCAAGTCCGCGCCCCCTTCTCCCGAGAAGATGGCCGCGTTCAAGGCGATGAAGGAGGCGATGAAGAAGGCCAAAGCCGCGCGGAAGGAGTTCAAAGAAGCTAAAGCGGCGGCGCAGGCCGGTCGCAAAGAAGTCAGAGACCTCGTGAAGGACGCCGCGCCGCTGAAGATGAAAGCGAAGCGACTCAGCGTGGCGAAGAAGTACATCTACAGACAGAAGCAGATGGCAGCGGCGGCGGCTAAGGCCGCCGCAGTCGCCGCCGAGCAAAGTGCTCCCGAGCCGGAGGTCGAGCACCCCGCTCCCGAACCGGAGGTCGAGCATCCCGCTAACGAAACGGAGGTCGAGAACCCTGCTCCCGAGCCGGAGGTCGAGCACCCTGCTCCCGAACCGGAGGCAAGGCCGGACAGGCGCGCGGAGATCCCCGACCCGGAGAACGCCGGATCGGTCATCGAAGTGCTGCATGCCGCCGGCACTCCCGACGACGACTGCTACCACATCCTGCCCGACGGCTCGAAATCTGAAACGATGCCGTGCCCGCACCCCGCGGATTCGATGGACTCGATGCCGGGCTCCACGATGGACTCCATGAACGACGACGACGACGACGACGACGACGAAGTCGACGACGACGAACACCACGACGACACGATGGACTCCATGAACGACGACGACGAAGACGACGACGACGATCACCACGACGACGATCACCACGACGACACGATGGACACCATGAACGACGACGACGACGACAACGACGACGAGAACTTGATTCACGATCCCTCGGAATTCCCCGATGAATTCAAGGCGGTCCTCTCGGACCACGGCGTCACGGATCCTGACGGATTCATCACGGACTGCGGCGTCCCCGAAGACGTCAAGAACGCGATCGAAGCGGGCAAAACCTTGCAGAAAATCTTCGAGGAAGAAGTCGACGAAGAAGAACGCAAGACGATGGACTTACGCGGTTTCCTCTCGACCGTTTGTGCCCATCACCACGAAGACGGCTCCACGATGCCCTCCATGCCGGAGGGCTCTATGATGGACTCCATGCCGGGATCCACGATGGACTCGATGAACGACACGATGAGCTCGAACTCCTCGAGCGGCGGCGACGAGCCGCGAACGCCGGACAGGCGCGCGGAGATCCCCGACCCGGAGAACGCTGGATCGGTCACCGAAGTGCTGCATGCCGCCGGCACTCCCGACGACGACTGCTACCACATCCTGCCCGACGGCTCGAAATCTGAAACGATGCCGTGCCCGCACCCCGCGGATTCGATGGACTCCATGCCGGGCTCCACGATGGACTCCATGCCGGGCTCCACGATTGACTCCATGCCGGGCTCCACGATTGATTCCATGCCGGGCTCCACGGTGGACTCCATGCCGGGCTCCACGGGGGACTGCAATGTACCCGATTGGTGCTCGACGTACCCCCCGGAGATGGCAAAGGAAAAACCGGAATGCCAGTGCCCGGAGTCCCTGCACCCCTTGCCGACGATGGACTCCATACCGGGCTCCACTACCGAGCCGGAGGTCCAGACGACCGAGCCGGAGGTCCCGACTACCGAGCCGGAGGTCCCGACGACCGAGCCGGAGGTCCAGCCGGAGGTCCCGACGACCGAGCCGGAGGTCCAGCCGGAGGTCCCGACGACCGAGCCGGAGGTCCAGACGACCGAGCCGGAGGTCCCGACTACCGAGCCGGAGGCCCCGACGACCGAGCCGGAGGTCCAGCCGGAGGTCCCGACGACCGAGCCGGAGGTCCAGCCGGAGGTCCCGACGACCGAGCCGGAGGTCCAGACGACCGAGCCGGAGGTCCCGACGACCGAGCCGGAGGTCCAGCCGGAGGTCCCGACGACCGAGCCGGAGGTCCAGACGACCGAGCCGGAGGTCCCGACGACCGAGCCGGAGGTCCAGCCGGAGGTCCCGACGACCGAGCCGGAGGTCCAGCCGGAGGTCCCGACGACCGAGCCGGAGGTCCAGCCGGAGGTCCCGACGACCGAGCCGGAGGTCCAGACGACCGAGCCGGAGGTCCCGACTACCGAGCCTGAGGTCCCGACGACCGAGCCGGAGGTCCCGACGACCGAGCCGGAGGTCCCGGCGACCGAGCCGGAGGTCCCGACGACCGAGCCGGAGGTCCCGACGACCGAGCCGGAGGTCCCGACGACCGAGCCGGAGGTCCCGACGACCAAGCCGGAGGTCGACGTGCAGACGGGGTCCGCGACGGACGCCGCGGCCGCCGCGGCCGCCGCCGCGACGACGCCGGCGCCACCGAGCGCCTTTTCCACGTTTGGACGGTAGGCGCCGACGATGACCGATCGTCGCGCCGCGAGCCTCCGGCTCCGCGAGCGCGACGACGTCGAACGGGGAGTTCACGAGCTTCCCTCGTTGCACTTTCTCTTTTGTACATAAAAGATGTCTGAAACTACACGTTCACTTCGCTCTCTTCGCGGCGACGACGACGCCGTTCGCCGAACGTTTCCCTCTCTTCTCGACAGAAACGCGCGACTTCTACGACGTAAACCATCAGTGATGCTCGTCGTCGTCGTGCTCGAAGTGCGGGGCGTGGCCGTAGATCAGCGTGTCCCCGTCCTTGTAGAACCGGTAAAAGATCCAGAACCAGCACAGCCCGCCCATGCCGTGCGCGACGGCTTTGTACCCCATCCCCGGCTCGTGAACGGTCAGCCCGCCGTGCGTCACCCCGGGGCCGCCTCCGCCTGCGACGCGTGCGCGGGGGTGAGGGAGGGGAAGAGGGGCACGAGGCGTCAGCGACGGGAGGACGCGGGGCGCGAAGGCGAGCGGGGGAATGAAAATAAACCCTAGGCGCGCGCGAAGGGGCGCGCGAGAGGGCGCGGGCGAACGATCGTATCGATCGATCGACCGACCGCGCGCGCGGCGACGCGGCGGGGACGAGCCGAACGCGCGCGACGGCACCTCACGAGGGAGGCGACGTCGACGACGACGTCGAAGCGCGCGGGCGGCGCGGTCGCGACGCGCGCGCGCGCGAGGGGAGGTGGGGGGGAGCGTTCGCGGAGCGGAGAGGGGTTAAATCTCGCGCGCACCCATCGATCGAGCCTGCTGGAACGCGACGCGAGGGACGGGCGCGGCGACGCGCGCGCCCGCGCCCGCGGCCTGGCGCAGAGCGCCGGCCGCGAAGCCCATAGCCGAACGCGCCGCCATCGTGCGCGACGACGCGGGGTCTCGTTCTGGCGCGCGCGAGCGTCGCGTCGACGACGAAAACGAACACACAGTCGAACGAGCGCGAACGTACACGTGCAGTACAGCTGGCGGTTACCCTGTATCAGTGCACGCACAGAGAGGGCGCGGCTCGAGACTCCAGGTTTTAACGCGTCCAAACGACGGCGCGGTCTCTTCTTACAAGCTTAAAACGAACGCCGCGCGGACCATCACCCACCACAGAGCGCCCCCCCGCGCGCGCGACGCGACGCGCGCGATCGCGACCGCGACCGCTTCCGCCGGCGCGGCGGCGGGGACGACGCGTTTCGGAAGAAAGTTTTTATTACCCTCCGCCTCCGCCCGCGCCCGCTCACGCGCTCGCGACGATGGCCTCGAGCTTCTTCTTGAGCGCCGCCTTGCGCTCATCGTACGTCAGCTTCTTCGGCTTCCACGACTTCGCGTCCGCGGGCTTGCTGCGCGCCTTCTTCTCGTGGACCGGGTTCTCGCGGATCGCCTCGAGCACCGCGTCCATGTTATCCTCGAGCTCCGTCGGGTCGAAGTCCTCGGCGAGGTACTTGGAAAAGTGCGCCTCGAACTTTTCGGGCTCCTGAGAGATCGCGGCGGCGGGGGGAGGGGATCGCGTCAGCGCGAGATCGAACGCGAACGCGACGGGAGAAGGAAGAGAAAAGAAAAGAAAAGAAAACGCCCAACGGGAAGACGTTACGGACGACGAACCTCCTCCTGCATCTCTTCCGCGTACTCCGCGACGACGCCGCCCTTGATGTACCGCTCGAGGGTGTCGGTATCCAGAGACTTGTCCTGGAGATCGTACCCCGCGTAGCGCTTGTCGTTGTGCGGAATGTCTAAGCCGCCGTCGACGGCGCCCTTGAGCGCGGCGAACACCCTCGCGCCCGTGCTCGTTCGCACGAGACCGGTGTCGAGGAAGCACTTGAACGGCCTCCGCTCGCCGTCGACGGCTTCGACGTTGTAATCCTCGCCGAGGTTCTCCTCGTTGCCCTCGTACGTCTCCGCGAGGTCGTACTTCGTCAGAAGCCTCCGCGCGCAGAGCAGACCGGTCGCGTACGCCGCCGCGTAGTTCGTGAGACCAGCCTTCATGCCGTACTTCGGGAGCTCGTGGGAGTACGCCGCGCAGACGGTGACGTCGCCCGCGAGCGTCGCGTAGATGACTTGGCAGATCACGTCGCGGTTGGTGAACCTGACGCTGAGTCGGTACTTCGGCGAGTTGTACTTGTTCTGGTCCTGGCACGTCAGGCGCTTGCGCGCGTAGTAGTCCGTCTTGCCTGTGAATCGAGCGCGGCGGGGGGCGCGGGGGTTGGTCGCGTCAGCGGGGGGGGGCGCGGGAGGCGGCGACGGCCGCGTCGTCTTTCCATTCGCGCGGGGAAAAAAAAAAAACCAGCGCGACCGCGCGATGGACGGACGCGCGGGCGAACGACGACGGCAGCGCGTCGCGCGCGCGGGGTCGAATCGATCGACCGCGCGGCGGACGGCGCGGGCGACGCGGACGACGACGGATCGCGCGCGCGGCGCGAGCGCTCGGCCGTCGACCGCGGCGTCGACGCGCGGAAGACGCGCGACCGCGCGCGGCGTCCGCTTAGGGTTTCGCCGTGGAAATGACCGGGGCATCGCACGCACCGGCTCTGCGTCGCGCGAACTTGACCTGGAACCTCTTGAAGTAAGAGGTCACGCCAAGGGCGGAGTTGGAACGGCGCTTGGTTTTGCGCTTGCCCATGGTGCGTGCGTGTTGGGCACGGCCGGCGCGGCTGAAAGAGGGACGGCCGGCGGATGAGCTCGCGGCTTTTCTCGCGGGTTCCTCACGAAAAATATTTCTCCTGCGCGCGCGCGTACTACGAAAAAATGTACTCAAGGACTGTACGCGTATTCAGTCTGATGAGAAACACGCGCTTCTACTCCTATCCGGACCCTCGTCCCCCGCCCCCCCGCCCGGCTCCTACCCCCACCCCACCGACTCCGCCCCTTCATCGCGTCTTCATCGTCGCCCTCGTCCTCACTCACCCCTTGTGGAACCGCTTGACGACGCTCAGCGTGAGCGGCTTGACGTCCTCGTGCGGCGGCGCGAACGACAGCGGCACCCGGTGCGTCCCGTACGTCTTAATCGGCGCCTTCAGAAGCACCGACCGCGGGTCGATCTCGAGCTTGCGCTGCCGCAACACCTGCGAGAGTGCGAATGATGTGGACGGAGGGGTCGATCGGGCGTTCAGTTCAGCCGACGAGGGAGGGAGGGAGGACCAGACCGGACCGGACCGAACGAGGACTTCGCGGGCGCCGGGCGTTTGTCCTCGTCCTTTGCATCAGTAGAGAATTAGGATAAAGTGTGTCCTCACGGTTGTAGACATAAATCCCTCAATTCAGAAGGAGGCGCATGCTATCAGGTGACAATATTTCATCATTTGCAAAGGACGCGACGACGTCGCCGACGGACGGACGGACGGACGGACGGACGGACGGACGGACGAGCGAGCGACGAAAAAAATAAAAAATAAAAAGAGCGAAGAAGCCGCGCCGCGACGCGACGCACCTCCTTGACGATGAGTTCCGCGGTGACCGGCACCCTCGGCTGGTTCGTGGTCTTGTCCACTATCCTCTTCACGACGAGCGTCGAGTTCGTCAGGATCTTTATGCACGTCTCCGCTTCCTGCGAGAGGAGCGAAGCGAAGAAGAAGAGGAAGAAGAAGAGGAAGGGGTCAGCGTCGGTCGCGTCGTCTCGCGCCGCGGCGGACGTCCTCCCCGGTCGAGCGTCGTACACTCAGTTCCACAGCCAAGATTTAGCGCGTTGACCACACGCCTTTCGTGAGGCAATTCAGAACGTAAAATAAATTGCGAAATCGTTCGTCACCGTGTACGACGCCCGCGGATAGGACCGGCCGAAGAGCCGAAGAGCCGAAGAAAAAAAAACGAAAAAAAAAAACGCGACGACGCGCGGCGACCAAACGCTCAGACAGCCAAGGGAACAACGTCTGTAAACAGCGGGTTATGCCTTCAGAAACTCTAGTCCGAAAAACGTAAAGTCACTCATCACCGCGTCGTGACAAGCCGCGCGTCGTCTCGCTCTCGGGCGCGGGCGGGGCGGGACCGGGAGGGGGGGATCGCGAAGAGACGGAATGGAGGCACCTTAACCGCGGGATCGACGCCGGCGGCGTCGTCGACCGTCTCGCGCACGTCCCAGCTCTCGCGCTTCTTCGCCGCCTCCGCGAGACGCTCCGGGCTCGAGTACGCGGCGAACTTGTACGGCACGAGGTGGTTCCTCGCGCGGCCGGGTTTCACGGACACGACCTCGCCGTCGCGTCCGAGGCCTTCGACGTCCTGTCGATCGACGGGTTTAGGTTTAGAACGGACGCGGACGCGCGCGCGGGGAGGGGCGTCGAGGACGGCGGCGGCGGCGCGGCGCGGACGGGCGCGACGGCGGAGGAATCGCCGTCGGGAACGACCGCGGAGGAGGACCGCGCGAGCGCGGCGCCGGCGATCGATCGATCGATCGATCGTTCGAGGGACGACGGCTCGAACGACGAAGCGCACCTGGAGGAGGCAAATCTCGACGGTGCGTCCCGCGGACTTCGCGCCGCGCGATTGGACGAAGATCGACCACGGCGAGAGCGAGGCGCCGAGGGCGGGGAGCATCGACCGGCCGGTCGTGCTGCAGCCGTCGAGGACCGCGCGGAGCATCGCCATCGCGCCGGCGCGACGGACGAATGACGAAGCGCGAGTGAACGATTTCGTTTCGATGCCGCGTTCGCGTTCGCGGCTCGCACTATCGGTTTTTCACGGGAGCGTCGCTTTGATCGGATCTTGCGATGAAAAACACCCGTTAAATTTTTTTCATCGGAAAATCTCCGATCGATTCTTGATCGTGGATAAAAACCTCGAGTTTTTCGCGCATCCTCTTCACCCGTCGCGTCCGCGACTCGACGCCCTCTTTCTGTCGCACCAGAGCAGGTCGACCAAGATGCCGACGCACGTGCGTACCCCTCCAGCGCCCTTCTCGCGTTTCCCGTCGCCGCGTGCGACTTCGCGCGCGTCGCGTCGCGTCGTCTCGCCGTTTCCGGCGAACGCCGCGCGAGAGGGGATGTCGATCTCGCCGCGTGCCGCAGACGCGGACGTCGACTCCGCGACGACGGCGACGACGACGACGCGCATCATTCGCCGTCGCGCGCGAACCCCCCGCGACGCGCGCGTCCTCGGCGCCCGGTCCTCGGCGTCCGCGCGCCGCGACGACGCTCGCGTCGCCGCGTCGGCGACGCGCGCGCGCCGCGTCCGCTCGCGCGATTTTAGGGTTTCTCTCGTCCGCGCGAGAAAAACGAACGACTCACCTCCGCTCCGCGCCTCTCTCTCCCCTCGCGATGCAGGCTCATAAGAACCGCAAGAAGCGCGGGCACGTCTCGGCGGGGCACGGCCGCATCGGCAAGCACCGCAAGCACCCCTCCGGTCGCGGTAACGCGGGTGGCCAGCACCACCACAGGATCATGATGGACAAGTACCACCCGGGCTACTTCGGAAAGGTTGGCATGCGTCACTTCCACAAGCTCAAGAACCACTACCACTGCCCGATCATCAACCTCGACAAGCTCTGGACGCTCGTCGGCGAGGAGAAGAGGCTCGAGTGCGCCGCGGCCGCGGGCAAGGCGCCCGTCATCGACCTCACCGACCACGGCATCTTCAAGCTTCTCGGGAAGGGCCAGCTCCCGAAGCAGCCCGTCGTCGTGAAGGCGCGGTACATTAGCAAGCTCGCGGAGAAGAAGATCAAGGAGGTCGGCGGCGCGTGCGTGCTCGTGGCGTGAGCGAGTGCGTTTGGAGTGATTGGGACGCGCGCGCGGGCGGGCGCGTCACGGGGGGTACGGTGGATCGGTCGGAGATGGTCAGTCGCGATTGGTTTTTGTAACGACGGCGGGGATCGAGTCGCCGACTAAACGAAGAAAAACTTTGCGCGCGCGTCTTTTCTCTTCTTCAACTCGGAAGCGTCGCCCGATACAAAACAACCCGTCTACTAGTCCACGAGCACGGTCTCGTCCGCGCTCAAATCGACGCTGCCTCCTCTCTTCGACAGCCTCAGCTCGTACGCGTCCAGGCGGTCCGTGGGGTCCATCTGAAGCAGCGTGATGAACTCGTCGAGGTCGATGAGTCCGTCGCCGTCCGTGTCCGCCTCGGAGATGCACGCCGCGATGACTTTCTTCGCCTCGGACGTCAGCTTCCCGTCGTCCTCGTTCATGAACACCAGCTCCGCGACCTCACCGGCGTCTATCGTTCCGTTCCCGTCCTTGTCCAGCATGTTAAACGCCTCCTTCACCCACGACGGATACGCCTCCGACGACCTCTCCAGCGCCTCCCAGTCCACGAGCGCGGCTAAAAATTCGTCGACGTCGATGCACCCGTCGTTCGTCGTGTCCAACGAGTCGAGCAGCTGCTCGCACTCGTCCTGCGTGATGTCGTACCCGACGCGCATCAAACCCGCCTGGAGCTCGTCCGGCTCCACGAGGTCGTCGCCGCTCGTGTCGAGAAGCTGAAACAGCTCCAAGAACTCCTTAGGGTCGTTCCATACGAGCGAATGTCGGGGTGGAGTTCAAAGGCGTCAGATGGAGTTGAAAGGCGTCGAGGGCGGGTATTGAAAGCGAGGGATGGGCGCAGAGAGACGCCGGGCAAAGTCCTTAAGGATCGGCGTTCACCACGCCGACGGGGTCGTATGGGGACCAGTGTATAGAACGCGCCTTAGTGAGATTCCTCTCCTCCGCGAGCACGCCGTCGATGACGCCCTCGACGCCGGGCCCCGCGTTCGGGTCGTCCTTCCGCAGCTGATCCCCCAGAAGCCTCAGCACGCTTCGCTTGAGCAAGCCGTACGTGCTGAACCGCTGCAGGCGCGCGACCACCTGCCCACCGATCGGCTGCGTCGCGCCGCTCAGCGCTTCCTCGGACGTCGGCGCGAGCAACCACGGGTGCAGCAACGCGGCGCGCGCGGTGATGCGCGTCTCCGGGTCGCGGTCGAGCATCTTCCGCACGAGGTCCACACACTCCGGGCTGAGCCGCGGCCACGGGTCGGCGACAAAGTCGATTTGATCCTCTAGTATGGCGCGAAACACCTCTTTCGCGTTCGGGCGCTGGTTGACCTTGTCCACGAACGGCAGCCGGCCGGTGAGCAGTTGATACGCGACGACGCCGCACGACCACACGTCCGCCTCTTCGCCGTAGTTTCGGTTGATAACCTCGGGGGCCATGTACGACGGCGTCCCGCACCTGCGCGTGAGCTTCTCGCCGGGGGTGATGAGCCCCGCGAGCCCAAAGTCCGTCGCTTTCAGCGGCGAGTCCAGCGCCTCGTTGTCGAACAAAAAGTTGTCGGGCTTGATGTCGCGGAAGATGATGCCCCGCGAGTGGCACTGCGCCGCGGTGCGAACGACGGACCGCACGAGCTCCGCGGCGTCGCGCTCGCTGTAGTTGATCCCCGCGCGCATCCTTCCCAGCAACTCCCCGCCCGTGCACAGGTCCATGAGCAGATGCACCGCGTCGCCGTCCTCGAACGAGTCGTACAGGTACACGATGGAGAGCGACGATCCGATCTTTCGCATCACCTCGAGCTCGTTTCGAAGCTTGCTGTGGTAGTACTGCACCGAGGTTCGCGACGTCGGCGGCTGCCGCCACGGCGCCTTGCGAATCGTCTTCAGCGCGAACTTCTTCCCGTCGCTTCGGCGGGTGACCTTGCGGACGATGCCGTACGACCCCGCGCCGATGGGCTCCTCGTCGTCGAGCGATTTCACGTCGTAGAGGTCGTAGAGATCGCGTCGGAGCCCGAAATCCGGTCGAAGCTCCTCGGGGGACAGCCTGTCGGGGGGGCGGTCCGCGGGCGGCCTATCGCGCCGCCCCGGCGCGCGCGGCTTCCCGGACGACTTCGCGCCGCCCGTCGTTCGCTTCCCCCTGGATGGCGCGGAGTCTTTGAACAGCTCCGGGTCGAGTCCCTTCTTCGCGCCGCCGCCGCGGGTCTTCTTCGATCCTCCAGCAGCACCCTTGGCTCCCTTGGCGTCGTCGCCGTCGCCGAGGTTCTCCTTGAGCCAGTCGCCGAGCCACGCGTGCGCGCGGACGTCGCGCGCCGCCGCGCGCGAGAGCGTCGGCGTCGGCGTCCGCGGCGGCGCGGAGACGCGCGGGGAGGGCGTCGCGCCGCCGCCGCACGCCGCGGTCGCGGTCGCGGTCGCGGTCGCGGAGGGACGACGACGCCGCTCGAGCGGACGACGACGCCCGACACGCTCGGCGCCGACGCGACGCACGATCCTCGCGCCGCCCAACGCGCTCGACCGCGCGCCGTCGCCGTCGCGCGCGATATCGCCCGCGACCGAGCGTCTGCGCGCCGCCGCGGGCGCGGGCATCGTCAGCATCGCGACGAACGCGCTCGACGTCGCCATGACGCGTCGTCGCCCGCGGCGTCTAATCCGCGAGACGACGCCTCAAGGTTGCCGCGCGCCCTATCCGGAGAATGTGTGCGACGTCTGCGTCTCCGCTCGACCGACGCGGAAGGGGGGGTGCGAGCGCGCGCGCGGCGACGACGACGCGGGGACGCTCACGAGGTCGCGCTCGATGTCTTCTTCCCTGCGCGACGGCGGTGCCCGCGCGAGGAGTGTTGTGCGCGCGACGTCCGCGCGCGCGACGAACGACGTCACGGAAATCATCGAGGCGCCAAGCGAGAGGCGGCACTGATCTGGAGATCGATGACGTCCGATTTCGTACTGGTAGGTTCATCAGTGAGAGAATCTATCGGTCGCCGCCGCGGTCGCGCCACGCTACTCCTCGCCGCCGCGCCGCCGCCGTCGCCGCCACCACTCGCGCGATATGCCTACTAAATGCCTTCTATTCCCCTCGCCCGTCGCGCCGTCCTCGCCCGCGGCGGAAGACGTCGACGACGTCGCGGCCCGCCCTCCCGCCGCCGCCGACGTCGCCGCTGCCGCCGCCGCCGCCGTCGCCGCCGCGCGCGCGGTCATCTCCCCCTCCGCGGCGACCCCCGCGTCGCCGTCGCCGGCGATCCTAGACGCGAGCTCCTGAACCTGGCGCTGAAGCGACGCGACCGTTCGCCGCAGGTCGTCGTCGTTCGACGACGACGACGACGACGACAACGACGACGCGTCGCCGCCGCCCTCGCCGCCGCCGCCGCCGCCTCCCGCGAGGGCTCGAAGCGCGCCCCCCGCGTCGCCGCCGGCGCCCCGCAGCTTCTCCTCGTGTTTCTTCCACCCGTCCGTCGTCTTCACGTGCTGCGCGTACGCGAGCGCGGCCGCGGCCGGGAGCGCCGCGAGGAACGCGTGCCACAGGTGCCAATCCAGCGTGAACGTGCCGTCGGCGCGTCGACCCCCGCGCGCGCGCGGCGTCGCGTCGTCGAACAGGAGCTCCGCGCTCTGGGAGAGGTTCAGGGGCTTTCCAGCGCGGATGAGCTCCTCGGGCGACGCCTCCGGCGCCGCCGCCGCCGCGCGCGCGGCGGCGTTGGACGACGACGACGACGACGAAGACGACGCGGGCGCCGGCGGAGCATTCGAAGAAGACGATCGCGCGACCGACGACGGCGACGCGTCGCCGGGCCCGTCGGACTTGGACGCGAACCCGCGCCGCGCGGACGCGCGAGTCCAGCTCGACGCGCGCGCCGCCGCGCGTCGAAGCATCGCGCCGGCAAACGTCGCGCCGCGAACGGCGGTCTCGTGCCGAGCGCGCGCGATCTGACGAGCGTCCCGGATGGATCAGAATGCGAAACAGCACCGGTGAGGACGGCTGCTTCTCGTGTTCCTCGGGAAAACGCCGCGCCGGCGGGGGTACACGTGTACAGCTTGCGACGCGCGCCAAGACGCGAAAGCCGCGAGACGCGAGACGTCGTCCTCGCGCTACGAAAGAATAAATATTACATCGCGACTACTGTACAGTACGCGCGCCGCACGCACGCCGACGAGACCGCGACTCCGACGCGAGCCGTCGATCGATCGAAACGTCAGACGTCGTGCCCGCCCACCACGGGGACGTCGTACGAGGGCCGTTCTATACAAGCGAAAGTCGGGGTGGAGTTGAAAGGCGTCAGTTGGAGTTGAAAGGCGCCGAGGGCGGGTATTGAAAGCGAGGGGTGGGCGGAGAGATGCGACGGGCAAAGTCCTTAAGGATCGGCGTTCACCACGCCAACGCGGTCGTATGGGGACCAGTGTATAGAACGCGCCTTAGAAGCTCGCGTTGGGCGGCGGAAACGCGACGACGGTCAACGCCAACTCCAGCCGCACCTCCGCGACGCGCTCGTCGATCGCGAGCTGGCGAAACCTCAGCTGCGCGCCGCACAGGTCGATCATCAGCGTCTCGAAGAACGCCTCGACCGCGGCGTCGAGGTCGGGGTGACGCGCTCGTGACCCGTCGTCGTCGCCGTCGCGACACTCTACGACCACGCCGCCGTCGCCGGCGCGCTTCGGACGCATCGCGATCCGGTACCCGCCTCCTCCCTCTCGCCCGCCGCCCCCCTCGACCGCCCTCCCCTCGAAGACGACCGCGCCGTCCTCCAGCGCGACGCGCTCGCCGACGAGCTCGAACCCGCCGGGCGCTCGCGTCGACGGCCACGCGTGCGACCGTTGCGCGGCGACTGTGAGCGGGTGCGACAAAAAGTTGCCGAAATCCGCCGTCGTGAACACGAGTTTCGCGGTCCCTCGCGCGGGCTCGCGGAGCTTCACGACGCGCTCGGTCACGAGCGCGATCGGGTCGATCGCCGCGGCGCCCACCTCGAACCGCGCGGTGGCGCACGTGAGGTTCTTCCTGGACGCCCACCTCGCGCCCGTGATGATCACGCCGTCGACGCGTCCGCCGAGCATGCCGAGGACGCTCGCGTCCACGACCGCGGTGACGTCGTCGAACGCGCGCAGGTTCGTGCTGAGCGCGAACTCCGCGATGCGCGCGAGGAGGTCGCCGCTGAGGTCGGGGGGCGCGAACGGGTTCTCGAGCGCGCGAGGCACGGTGGGAGGCGCGCCGCGAGCGCGACGACGACGCGACGACGCTTCGCCGTCTTCGCGGCGGCGGCTGGCGAGATGTCGAAGGATCGACGGCGACGACGTCGACGCGGGCGTCCGAGAGCGCGACGCGCGCGACGCGGAGAAGGAGGAGGACGAGGAAGCCGTCGCCGCCGCGAGCGCGGGAGCGCTCGCGAGGGACGGGGGCATGTCGCCGAGGGCGCTCGCGCTCGCGTCGTTGTGGCGGCGACGACGACGAAAATCTCGTTGTGACGAGCAACGACTGCGACTGAATGAATCTTTCTCGACGAGCGACCTCCGACATCTCACACGCGAGCGCGCATGGGGCGGTGATGCGTGCGATCCTGCGCGTGACGCGGCGACGCGCGCTGTCCTGCGCGTCGTCGTCGACGCCGCGGCGCGTCGCGCCGCTCGCGTCCGCGCCTCCCGCGTCGCCGTCGCCGTCGTCGTCGCGCGCGCCGTTCTCGACGTGGGGCCCAATCGTCGCCGCGCGCTACGAGACGTGGGAGAGGACGCGCGACGGCGCGCCGCGCGGAGGAGGAGGAGGAGGAGGAGCGCGCGCGTCGCGTCGCGACGCCGCGCGCGATGCGGCGTCGAGCGACGCGGCGAGTCGGCGCGTGGAGACCGCGCTGCTGCGGCGCGATTCGCGCGGCGCGGACGAGATCCTGGCCGCGCTGAACACCGAGGACGCGCGCCGCGCGGACGCGCTGCGCGTCCTCTCCCGCGCGGTCCGCGCGCTCGAGCACTCCGCCCAGGACGCGACCGCCGCCGCCGCGACGCCGTCCTCGCGGATCGCGCTGGAGCGCCACCCCGGGTTCGCGAGCGCGCTGACGCGATGCGTCGCCGCCGCGGAAGCCATCGCGGCGCGCGAGGACGACGACGGCGCTCTCGATTGGAGCGCGCGCGCGAGCGTCGCCGCGGCGATGCACGGCATCGCCAAGCTGCACAGAGCGCGACGGGTGGACGCGCTGTCGCGGGGGAGATCCGGGTCTGGGTCCGGATCAACGTCCGCCACGACTCCAGCCACGGTGGCGGACACGTGGCGCGCGCTCGTGCGCGCGACGCGGAAGCTGTCCGACGGCTTGAACGCGAAGCAGGCGACGGACGTCGCGTGGGCGCTCGCCGTCGTCGCGAGCGACGCGTCGGCGTCGACGACGCGCACTAGAGCGCAAACGGCGACCGACCGCGTCGAGCTCGCGGAGGCGTGGCGCGCGATCGAGGACGCGACCGCGCGCGCGCCGGCGACGCGCGCGAAGCACGCGAGCGTCGCGACGTGGGCGGCGGCGAAGATGCAGGTGCGTTCTATACACTGGTCCCCATACGACCGCGTCGGCGTGGTGAACGCCGTTCCTTAAGGACTTTTGCCGTCGTGTCTCTCCGCCCAAACCTCGCTTTCAATCCCCGCCCGCGTTGCCTTTCAACTCCATCTGACGCCTATGAACTCCACCCCGACATTCGCTTGTATGGAACGACCCTCAGTCGGCGCTCGGCGAGCCGCCGTCGCCGCGATTTTTCGACGCGCTCGCGAGACGCATAGGCGCGTTCGTATTCACACTGGTCCCCACACGACCGCGTTCGTCGTTCGTTCGCGCGGTGATCGCCGTCCGTTGCTTGAGGACTGACGTGTCCCGTCGTTCGTTTCTCTCCGCCCACCCCTCGGTTTCGACGCCGACTGACGCCTTTGAACTCCGCCCCGACGTCGGTTCGCGCGGAACGGCGGCCCGCAGTCGACGTCTCGCCGGCGTTCGACGCGCGGAACGTCGCGAACACGCTGTGGGGCATCGGGAAGATCGCGAAGGCGCACCCCGCGATCGCAGCGCGCGCGCCGCGGGAGACGATGGACGCGCTCTACGTCGCCGCCGCGCGCGTCGCGCCTCGATTGAGCCCGCAAGAGGTCGCCAACGCCGTGTACGGCGCCGGCTTCGCGCCGCGCCCGTCGGCGACGGCGGGCGACCCCGCGATCGTCGCGCTCGACGTCGCGATCGCGAGGTGCGCGAGAGAGATGAAACCGCAGGAGGTCGTCAACGCGCTGCAGGGGATCGCGACCGGGCGCGCGGGGATCGCGCGGCCGGCGGATGCGGATTTGAGGCGCGTTCTATACACTAGTCCCCATACGACCCCGTTCGCGAGGTGGACGCCGATCCTTAAGGAATTTCACCGGCGCATCTCTCCGCCCAGGGTCCCTCGCTTTCAATCCCGACACACCTCGGCGCCTTTCAACTCCGCTTCTGACGCCTTTCAACTCCACCCCGACGTTCGCTTGTATAGAACGGCCCTGAAAAAGACCGCCGCCGACGACGCGTTTCGAGACGCGTGGCGCGAGCTCGACGCCGCGGTGCGCCGACGCGCGCATCGCATGAGCCTCCTCGAGGTCGGCATCGCGATGTGGTCGTACGCGACGCTGCGCGCGTCCAGAGCGTCTGGGGACGCGCCGAGCCCGACGCGAGGCGCGTTTCTCGCGCTGGAGCGGCGGCTCGCGATGACGCTCGCGACGGCGCGATTCGGCGACGCGAAACGGAGAGACGAAACCTCCGTCGCGACGGCGACGTGGGCGTACCACGCCATGGAGACGCGCCCGAGCGACGACGCGGCGCGCGCGCTCGACGCGGCGCTCGCGAAGGCCGCGGCGACGCTCCCCGCGCAGGAGACCGCGATGACGCTCATCGGCGTCGCGTCCACGGGGACGTGGCGCGCCTTCGACTCGAAAAAAAAAAAAAAAACGACGACGACGACGACGACGACGACGATGACGACGTGGGACGCGCTCGTGGAAAACGCGCGAAGGAGGGTGCACGAGATGAAGCCGATCGAGCTCGCGTACGCGACGTGGGCGGTCGCGATCGTGTCGTTCGTCGACGAGACCACGCCGCCGTCGCGCGCGTTTTTCGAGACGGCGTGGGCGCGCGCGGCGACGCTGACGCCCGGCGTCGACTTTCCGGAGGGAAAGAGAGGAAAAGACGCGTTGGCGAACTTTTATCACGCGTATCTGATGCGTCGAGACGCGGTCGACGACGCCCCCCCGAGCGCCGTCCCGGCGTGGCTGCACGCCGACGCGAGAGACGCGTGGCGCGCGCAGGCGAAGAACGACGTGAACGCGTCGGCGTTTCACGACAACGTCGCGCGCGACTGCGAGAGCCTCGGCTTGACGGCGGAGAAGGAGGCGCTCGCGGAGGATGGGAATTTCTCCGCGGACGTGCTCTTGCGCGACCACGACGCGATCGTCGAGTGCGACGGGCCGAATCACTTTTACGTCGACTATCAGAGACCCGAGCCGCTCGGGGCGGACGCGAATCCGAACCCGGGGAAATACGACACGCGCAAGGAGTCGAGAGTGCGAAAGGTGAAAACCGAGGCGCGCGATAAGTTTCTTCGGGCGCGTTTTACGCGCGTGATCGTCGTGCCGTGGTTCGACGTGCACGGGATGCAACCCGCGCAGAGGACGGCGTACGTGCGCGCGCGTCTCGAGGACGCGGGGGTGCTGAAGAAGGACGCAGCGCTAGAGTAGGTATTAGAATATGGAACGACTAGCCGATATCTTATTATATACAGTAGAATGTAGTCGCTCGGACTTTCTCGTATGTACACGCCACACGCGGGCGGCGGGGAAACAGAAGATGAACAGGAGAAAAAAAGAAAGAACTGCGCGGTCGCGAACCGTCCTCACACCGTCGCCGTCGCCGCAATCTGCGGATCGCGCGTGATGAGCCACAGATCCGGGTGATCGATGTCGTAAAACACGTCGTGCGCGTCGTGCGCCTCGAACTGGTAATCCGCGGATGAGCACACGCTTCCGTAGCCGTCGTCCAGGTGGCACGAGCGGTGGCCGCCGAGGACGTGGACGTGGTCGTTGTAATCCGCCGCGGCGGCGAATCGGAACCGACCCCTCGGCATCGGCGCCTTCTCCACCCACGTGTCGTGGATCGGGTAATACCTCTCGACGTGGTGCATCGCGACTTTCGAAGCCGAGGACGAGTAGTACGTCTCGCCGCCCATGACGAGGATGGATCCGTCGGAGAGCGTCGTCACGGCTTTATCGCCGCGCGCGTACTTCATGCTGGAGACGTTATACCACGAGTCTTCGGTGTTCGTCGCGTCCAGGGCGAAGACGTCGTCGTGGAACGAGTTCGCGAGCCACGCGCCGGTGTAGTCGTAGTATCCGCCGATGACGAAAACTTTGTTCCCGCTCGCGGCGCACGAGACGTCGCCGCGCTCCTCCGGGATGTCCGTCGTGAGCGACCAGCTCGCGCCGTTGTTCGTCGAGACTTCCACGGACTTGAGCGTGCTGTAGGCGCCGGTCCATCCGCCGACGACGTAGAGCTTGCCGTTGGCCGCCGCCGCGCAGTGATCGGACCGAGCGGTCTTCAGAGCGCCGCCCGTGGACCACGTGTTGGCCGCGATGTTGTAGATGTACGTCGTCGAAGCCACGGCGTCGGCCGCGCCTTGTCCGCCCATGACGTAAATCTTCCCGTCCATGAGCGCGGCGCCGTACCGATTGCGAACGGCCGGGAGCGAGGCGCCGGTGGACCACACTTTCGTGAGGGTGTTGTAGATGTGGACCTCGGCCTTCACTGTGCCGGTTCCCGACGTGCTGTCGAGGCCTCCGATGAGGTAGATGTTGTAGTTGTAGTAGATCGCGACGTTGTCCGACAGTTGAGGGCTCACCCCGTGAGGGTTCCCGGCGACGCTTGAGTGCGGGACGTCGTAGTACGCGTAGTGGGCTTGATCGGCGGTGAACTGGTAATCCCCGAGAGAGCACACGTCTCCAGGGTTATTCGGGTCGTCCAGGTGGCAGGACTGGTGCCCGCCGAGCACGTGGACATGGTCGTTGTAATCCGCCGCGGCGGCGAATCGGAATCTCCCGAGAGGCATCGGAGCTTTGCTCACCCAGGCGTTGACGGTGGGAAAGTAACGTTCTACCTCGTGCATCGCGATTTTCGTCTTTGTGACGTCGCCAGGGTAGATCTGTTCACCGCCAATCACGAGGATGGATCCGTCGGAGAGTGTCACCGCGGCCATGTCTCCTCGCGCGGTGGGCATCGGCTTTTTGACAGTCCACGTGAGTGAGGGGCTCGCCGCGGCGTCGCCCTCGTACACGGTCGACCAGTAATTGTGGGTGCCGGCCACGTTGTCGTAGTAACCGCCGAACACGTAAATTTTGGTTCCGCTCACCGCGCACGCGAGATCTCCGCGCTTCCCGGCGAAACCGCCGTCGGCTGGAAGAGATGTCGTCGTCGTCCACGTCGCGCCGGCGTCGGAGGACACCTCGACGGAGTCTAGAACGTTAGACCAGCCCCCGTCCCAGCCGCCGATGACGTAAAGCTTGCTGTTCGCGTAGACCGCGCAGTGATCGGACCGAGCCGTGTTCAACGTGCCCGCTGCGGTGGTCCACACGTTCGTCTGGATGTTGTACACGTACACCGTATTTTTCTGCCCATTGGGCCAGGGATCGGCGTTGATACCGCCGGTGATGTAAATCTTCTTACCCGTGGTGTCGATCGCTCCGCCGTACTGAGAGCGCACCGCGGGCATGTCCTCCGCGGCGGTGCCCGTGATCGGGTTGTTCGCCTCCCACGTGCGCGTCAGCGTGTTGTAAATCTTCACGGTGAGGACCTGTGTGCCGGATCCCGCCACCGACGTGCTGTCGAGTCCTCCGACGAGGTAGATGTGGTAGTCGTAATAGAACGCCTGGTTGTCCGACAGCCGAGGGTTCGCGTTCCCGGCGTTGATGATCTCTTGAGACCACGAGCCGGAACCTTCGTACCTGTTGAGCCCGTGCGGCGACGCCTCCGGCGCCCACGACCCGGTGCCCTCGTACGCCGAGTACCCGTACGGGTACTGGTACAGCGTCGAGACGCCGACGCGCGCGACAACCTCGGGGCCGTTCTCGTCGACGTTCATCGGAACCCCGAGCGGGACGGTGACGTACCACGACGCGAACGACCCGAGGACGAACGCGATGAACGTCACGATCATCGTGCAGAGGACGCACCATCGATTGTTCAGGACGCTCTCGCGCTTCTTGAGCTTTTCAATCTCGAGCGCGAGCATCGCGTTCGACGGCCCGGATTCCATGTGGAACGCGGCGTCGCGGCCGTCGTCGTGGCCATCGCCCCCGCGCGCGGCGTACCCTTTCGGGAGACTCACGAGGTCGTTGTTCACGTACGGGTCCGCGGGGGCGCCTCCGACTTGACGCGGCAGGAGCGCGTCTTCGTTCCCGATCGCGAACGGGTTGCTCTTCCGCTGCGGCGGCGTCGCGCCGCGGGCGGAGAGATCGTCGTCTTGGACGACGTACGGGTTCGGGTCCTTCGCGAGCGGGTTCGCGGGAAGAGGCATCGGTCTCCTCGGGTCCGTCCAGATTCAGAGTGCGGCGGTTTTTTTTTTTTTTCTTCACGAGTGAAGCGGTGATGCGGTGGCAGAAGTAGATTTGAAACACGTAGCGCCGGCGAGTTCGTCAGAGATCGCGGGCTTGAGAAGCGCGTCACAAAATCTCACCTGGCGATCGCGAATGGCCGGGGGGACGGCGGCGTCAGGCGCGTCCTCTCGCGTCGTCGCGAGGGAGGGGGGAAGAGCGCGGATCACGAGAATTTTCGGCGGCTCGTCAGGGATGACGACGAGGGCAAAATATCGCGGCGGCGGCGGCGCGCGCGATGCCGCGGGGACGAGACGCACCGAGCTCCCAGGGTCCCGCGATGAACCCGTGTTCCATCAAGCACGCGACGTGAGCGCGCGTGAGACGCGGAGTAGTCGCGCGTGTGTGCAGATACGCGCGGCGAGCGTGTGTGTCGCGCGGCCGCCGCGAAAGACGGTTGAAAAGAAATGACGTGTGACGCGTCGCGTCGTCGGCAGCAGGGAAAATCGGCGGTCGCTCAGATCTCGAGAGCGCGTGTGAGTTCCGACGGCGAAAGTTTCCCGCGATCCCTCACCTAAGTTTCCCGGCGACCCCTCGCCTCGCCACTACGCTACGTTATCCGCGTCGTCCTCGTCGTCCCTCGACGCGCCCTCCCCCCCTCCCCCCTCCTCCGCGACGACGCCGTCCAGCTCGTCCTCCACCTGCTCCTGCGCGCGAACGACGTCCGCGTCGATGAACCCCCGCAACGTCAACAAAACGCACCCGCACACCAGCCACCCGGTCATCGCGACGTTAAACGCGAACCTCCGTCCGGACGCCATGATCAGCCCGGCGACGAGCGCGGGGCCGCCGCCCTTCCCGACGTCGTCGATCTGCGAGTAGAACGCGAACATGCTCCCGCGCGTCTCTGAGGGTCGAGGGTCCATCGTTCAAAGCGACGTCGGGGCGGAGTTCATAGGCGTCAGAAGCGGAGTTGAAAGGCGCCGAGGGCGGGTATTGAAAGCGAGGGACCCTGGGCGGAGAGACACGCCGGGCAAAGTCCTTAAGGAATCGCGTTCACCACGCCGACGCGGTCGTATGGGGACCAGTGTGAATCAGAACGCGCCTGGAGGGTTCACGTTGAGGAGCACCGCGCGGACGTTGGGCGGCGTGACGCCGGCGAGGACGCCGCCGACGAGACAGCCGAAATAGAGCAACAGGTTGTGGGACCCGTAGTCGCTCGTGTTGATGAACCAGAACCCGGGTAACGCACCGAGCGCGGTCGTTACCCCCATGATCACCGCGATCGCGTGCCTTCCCCCGGGTTTGTTGTATATCGTCTGGCCTCGGATCCCGCCGACGACGGTCCCGATCGCGGCGCCGAGGCCGAAACACGTCACCGCGATCGTTCCCTCTTCCACCTTGAGGCCCTTCTGCTTGTGAAGGTAATCCACGAAGTACGCGTTGAGCATACCCCACGGGATCGTCCCGGGGATGCCCTGCGCGAGGATGACGCGGTTGGACGGCACGCGGAGCTGCCGTTTCAGCTTCTCCCAGTCGATCTTGCCGCTGGAGGGCCATTCCATACAAAAATAGTTCATCGGTCAGTTGAAAGTGAACGCGATCAAATGTTGAAACTGAGCGGTGGGTGAAAAACGTTTGTATAGAACGCACCTGTATTCGTCGTCCTCCGCGGCGGCGGATTTCTCATCCGCCTCGCCGCCGCCGCCGTCCTTCCTCGCGCCGCCGCCGCCGCCGCCGCCGCCGGTCGACCTCGACGACGCGACCGCGCCCGCGGCCATCACCCCCGCCGTCGCGGCGACGCCCGCGCGCGCGGCGCTCCCGTCCCCTCTCCTCTTCTTCTCCTTCTCCTCCGCTTCCTCGTCGTCGTCGTCGTCATCCTCTTCTTCTTCTTCGCGGTCCCTCGTCGACGCTCTCTTTTTCGCGGCCCCCGCTTCGTCGTCGCCGTCGTCGCCGCCGTCGCAATCCACGCGCAGCGCCTCGCCGTCTTCCTCCTCCTCCCTCAGCCGCTCCTCCCTCCGCTTCTTCACCGCCTCTTCCTGGCACCCCCGCACGGGCTCTTTCACCGTGAAATAAAATAAGATCGCGAGCGCGATGGCGGGCGCGGCGGCGAGTAAAAACGGCAGCCGCCACCCGTACCGCGGCCCGACGAACCCGCTCATCATCTGCCCCATCGCGATCCCCGCGCCGGTGCTGATCGTCAGGAAGCTCGCGACGTAAGACCGCTGCTCCGTGGGGAACATGTCGCCGCACATGGAGAAGAGCAGCGGGAGGCATCCGCCGACGGCGACGCCCGTGAGCGCTCGGCACGCGAAGAGCTCCCAGTACGTCCTGGTGGAGGAAAGGGACAGACGCGTCGTTCATCGGTCAGACTTAGACTCGACCGGGGGGGGGCGCGATCAAACGTACGCGGTTGAAACCGAGTTCGGGCGGGCGACGGGTGAAAAATGAGATGAGCGCCCGAACGAGCCGCGAACGAACGCGCCTGACCCAGTACGTCGCGAGACACGGCCCCTCGCCGATCATGACGGTCAACACGAACAGCCGCGTGCGCGGGTTCGCGCGGCCGCGGATCGTCGGCTTGTCCGCGAGCCATCCGATCAAGAACGACGCGGGGGATCCGACGACGAAGAAGGCGAGCTGGAGGTAGCCGCCCAGGTAGAGATCTTTGGGTCGTTCCATACGAGCGAACGTCGGGGTGGAGTTCATAGGCGTCAGAAGCGGAGTTGAAAGGCGTCGAGGGCGGGAGTTGAAAGCGATGGGTGGGAGGAGAGAAACGCCGGGCAAAGTCCTTAAGGAATAGCGTTCACCACGCGAACGCCGTCGTATGGGGACCAGTGTGAGATAGAACGCGCCTTTCTCCTTGTCCGTCATGTTGAAGTCCTCCGCGACCGCGGACATGTTCGGCGACAGGAGGTTCTGGTCCGCGTACAGAAACATCGCGGTGAGCGTGAGGAGGCCGACGGCGTAGTACTTGGCGCGCTTGCTGCCGCGCGGGCCGACGTCCACGCGATGGAGCTCCGGGAGCGCGAGCGCGCCCGGACGGTCGTCGTCTTCGGGAGTCGTCGTCTTCGTCGCGCGCGCGTCGTCGTCGTCGTCGTCGTCGTCGTCGTCGTCGTCGTCGCGCTCGCTCGCGGGGACGAGCTGCGCCTCGACGTCGTCCGCGCTCGCGACGCCGGAGGACGCGCTGCGGCTGTGCGCGGACGCGCCCATGGCGCTCGGGGGCGGCAGGGAGTGGGCGCCGCGTTTCGAAAAGTCATGCTTGCGACTGGATGAAACGAAAAGTCGCGCCTCTTCTCGGACGACCCGAGACGGCGCGCGGCCCGCGGGTCACACCGCCGCGCGCGCGGCGAGGAGGAGGACGCACTGCGCGCGCGATGCCGTCGTCGTACGTCCGCCGGGCCCGGTTCGACGTCCGCGGCTTCGGCGTCGCGCGGCTCTGCGCGCACGCGCTCGGCGCGTCGCTCGCCACCTCGCTCGCGTCGCTCGTCGCGATCGCCATTCTTCCGCTGCTGTGCCTCCGCGTCCGTCGCGGCGGCGGCGGCGGAGGAGGAGCGAAGAGGAAGAAGAAGACGGACGCCGCCGCGGACGCCGACGCCGCCGCGCGTCTGACGATCCCGCCCGCGCTCAGCGCGCTCCTCGGCGCGTTCGCCGTCGGCGCGCTCCTCGGCGACGCGTTCCTGCATCAACTCCCGCACGCGTACGCGAGCGTTCGCGGAGACGACGCGCGCGCGGGCGGTCACGACCACGACCACGACCACGGCGGCGGGTCGCTCCTCCGCGCCGCGATCGAGCAGCGGATCGGCCTCTGCGCGTGCGGCGGCGTCGTCGCGTTCTACATCGTCGAGCGCGTCGTCCGCGCGCTCGGGTCGAGTTGTCGCGGGCGTCGTCAACATCAACATCAGGTGCGTTCTATACACTGGTTCCCATACGACCGCGTCGGCGTGGTGAACGCCGATCCTTAAGGACTTTTCCCGTCGTGTCTCTCCGCCCACCCCTCGCTTTCAATCCCCGTCCTCGGCGCCTTTCAACGCCAACTGACGCCTTTCAACTCCACCCCGACATTCGCTTGTATAGAACGGCCCTCATCATCGTCGTCGACATCATCATCGCGCGGCGGCGAGGAAGAAGAAGGACGGCGACGCGGACGGGGAGGAAGAGAGAGAAGACGGCGGCGGCGCGGCGACGACGACGAAGAGGAGGACGGCGGCGCGGCGACGACGCGCGGCGGGCGCGACGTCGCCGTCGCCGCCGCCGCCGGCTGCGCGCGCGCGGCGGGTCGCGGAAGAAGCGTTCGACGACGACGACGACGACGACGACAACCTCCACGTCCTCCTCGCGGAGGAGAAGAAGGTCGTCGGCGTGATGAACCTCCTCGCGGACGCCGCGCACAATTTCACGGACGGTGTCGTCGTCGGCGCGTCGTTCGTCGTCGGCGGCCCGCGGCGCGGCTGGGCCAAGACGGCGCTGATTCTCGCGCACGAGATCCCGCAGGAGCTCGGCGATTTCGGCGCGCTGACGCACGCGGGGTTCACCGTCGCGCGCGCGCTCTTCTACAACTTTCTCTCCGCGCTCGCGTCCGTGGTCGGCACCGCGGTCGCGCTGCTGATCGGCGGCGCCGCGTTCGTCGGGCGCGAGGGCGGGACGGAGGCGTTGTCGGATGGGGACGCGGACGCGACGCGGTGGATGGCGTGCGCGGACGCGTTCGTCGCGGGCGGGTTCGCGTACGCCGCGTGCGGGACCGCGATGGCGGAGATGCAGCGGGCGGGGATGGGGTGGAGGGGGGAGGTGGGGCGGGTCGTCGCCGTCGTCGTCGGCGTGGCGACGTGCGCGTTGGGGCACGTCGCGAGCGGATGTCGGGGGTGAAGCGTCGGCTGTTGTTTGATATCTCTTTTAAATCGATCGCTATCCTAGGCCCTATAAATCATGAATAACACGCTCTGCACGCGAAGTGATGTGGGGGTGCTTTCGAGATGTCCGCTCCGCAACCACTGCACTGCCTTCCTCGAGGTTTCTTCGCCGAGGCAGACCCTCCACTGAAGCACGACAAACATTTATGGTGGTTTGGTGGCTTGTTCGAGATGTCCGCTCCGCAACCACTGCACTGCCTTCCTCGAGGTTTCTTCGCCGAGGCAGACCCTCCACTGAAGCACGACAAACATTTATGGTGGTTTGGTGGCTTGTTCGAGATGTCCGCTCCGCAACCACTGCACTGCCTTCCTCGAGGTTTCTTCGCCGAGGCAGACCCTCCACTGAAGCACGACAAACATTTATGGTGGTTTGGTGGCTTGTTCGAGATGTCCGCTCCGCAACCACTGCACTGCCTTCCTCGAGGTTTCTTCGCAGACCCCCACTCGCTGCTGTAAAAGTTCCCACGCGAAAACTCGTCGTCTGTCTCATCGTCGTCCTCATCATCGTCGTCTGTGTCATCGTCGTCCTCATCATTATCGTACCCGTCCCAGTCCATCTCGGAGTACGCTTCGGACTCGTATCCTTCATCGTCGCCGTCGTCATATGCATCCGCGCTCTCGGCAAATCTCCTCTCCGCGGTTGCCATGTCTCCTGTGTATTCCGTCCGGACGACGACGGCACCTTTGCGAATCTCAGAGTGGTTCCCATCCACGCACTGCCTGCGATTCAGGTTCTCGCAGTAGTTGCAGGACTTGCATATCGGCACGATCCACACACCATTTGCGCGACTCGAGTGTCCTCGGATCCACACGTGTCCGCCGTGCTCGCCCGGTTTGTCGCAGTCTTTGTACGCGCAACGCCAACGCGGGAGCTGCGACTTTTCCTCCCAGTGCTTGATCCACGAACCGCTCGCGAGCTTGTCCGTGCTGCTCCCGTCCATGTTCCACCCGGGGAGGTCATCCGTGAGCTGATACACGTCAGGTTTCCCGCGGAGCTTCTTCAGGCCTCGGGGAGGCCCGTGGGGAGGCATCGCGCGCGCGGTCTGCCCATCTTGTCGCGCATTTTTTTCGTATGTTATCAGACCGCAGCTGGCGCCCGCGCCCGCCGGACTGGTGTCCGTGTCCCGATACCAGACCTGCGTTTTTTTTTGAATCTCTCAACGACTCTCGTCGCGGCGCGCGGACGCCAGAGCGACGCACGCGCGTCGGCATCGTCACGCTCGCGCGCGTCGAACGCGAATCGTCAGCGCGACCGAACGCACGCGTCGTCGCGTCGCGCGTCCTCGCGCGCGCGGAGCGGACGGAGAGGAAACGCGAGAGGCGGAGGAAGAGCGCGGAACGGAGTTGTTGACATCATCGCGCGTCAGCGAGCCCCCGTCGTCGTCGCTTCGAATCTGGCTCCCTCGACGCCGCCAGGATGTCGGGCAAGGTGACGTATCGCTCCCCCGACGCGCTGCAGAACCTCCGGATTCGCGTCGCGCTCACGCGCGTGAGCGCGCCGCGACCGGACCGCGCGCTCGAGATGGAGCGCCGGCTCGAGGAGTCGCAGAACGCCGCGCGGTTCGGAAGCGAGCGCGAGGCGAACGCGGCGTCCGCGGAAGCGACCGCGGCGACGGCGCTCGGACCGTCCGCCTCCGCGAGCGAGCTCGCGGCCGCGGACGCGATGGAAGCCGCCGCCGCCGCGAACGCCGCCGGCGGCGGCGCGCGCGGCGCGAAGCCGTCGCTCGCGCCGGCGCCGTCGTTCAAGATCGGTACCGACTACGAGGCGCAACGCGACGCCGCCGCCGCGGGCGCGCCGCGGACGGACGCGGACGACGGCGGCGTCGTGACCGCGTTCGACCCGTACGCGACGGAGGAAGGAGGAGGAGGAGGAGGAGGAGCCCCCGGCCCTGGACCGGTGACGGAGGGGAAGGGCGGCGCCGAAGACGCCGAATCCCTGGCGGCGCGGTTCGCGAGACAGACGACGCTGACGCGCGGGCCCATCGCGCCCGACGACCCGGACGCGCCGATACGGTTCGAGCGCATCGTCGCGTGGCAAGAGAAGGTGTTCGGCGCGGTCGAGATCGATCGCATCAAGTCGAAGGGCGCGCCGGAGACGGAGCTCGAGAGGCGGTACTCGCGGATGATCGACGAGGGGAACCTCACGGGGGAAGCCATCTACACGTACGCGTCGGCGGATCCGTTCGCGGACGACCGCGACGCGGCGAAGACGGTCACGACGAGCGCGTTCGAGCCGCTGAACGGGCTCTTCCGCAAGATCTTCGGCGCGCCCGCGGAGCGACGAGGCGAGGACCCGAAGGGGAGGGGCGTCGCGTCGCTGTGCGCGAAGAAGCCGAGCCCGGAGTTGGCGCGGTCGGCGGCGAGGAAGCGCGCGGAGAACGCGCGCGCGGCGTCGAGGCGCCGCCGCCGGGGCCAGGGCGGATCCTCCGCGCCGATCTCGACGTTCGCGATCTGCGCGGACTGCGGCCCTCTGGAGCTGCCGCCGTCGCACCCGGTCTTCGACGGGCCCGACGGTAAGAACGCGGAGCGAGAGGCGCTCGTGATGCTCGTCGAAGCGTTCGACGACGGCTCGATCGCGTTCACGCCGGACTTCACGAAGGAGAACGAGCCGATCCGCATCGAACGCAGGGACGGCAGCGTGTTCGAGGTTGTCGTCACGAACGCGTCGGAGCGCGGGGAGAGCGCGCTGGAGAAGCGTCAAAACGACATCGCGCCGACGGCGGCGCTTCGCAGGTTGGAGCTCATGAAACGCCGCGGCGTGGGCGGTTTCGTCCCCGCGCCCGGGCCGAACCCCGGCGTGATGCGGCTCGTCCTCCTCGGCGAGATCGTCAGCGGCCGAGGGTTCGAGAGGGACGATTTATACTGCGAGTGGGTCTTGGACGCTGACCCGGTGATTTGGAAGCTCTCCGGAAGCGTCGCCGGAAAGGGCGGCGACGACGCCGGCCGCAACGCCCCGGTCGTCACCGCGGGGGTCACGCAAATTTGCCGATGCACGACGTACCCGAACACCCGCGACGGCGAGGGCGACGGCGCCTTCTCCGGCGACCGCAGGGTCGCGCACTGGAGCTTCCCGTTCGAGCTCGAGCTCGTCGCGCAGTCGGAGCCGGAGCCCGATCAGTTCCCGTCGCTCTTCTTCCAGGTGTCCTCCTACGACCAGTGGGACCGGTACCGGTGCGAGGGGTACGGCTACCTCCCGCTGCACTCCGTCCCGATCGGCAGCGTCGAGCACAAGGTGATGACCTGGCGCGCGGGGGGCGCGATCGTCGACCGCATGAAGGAGCACTTCGTCGGCGGCACCCCCGAGCTCGGCGATCTCGCGTACGCGGGGACGCCGCGCGACGCCAAGGCGGGCGCGAAGTCGGCGGTGCACTCGCGCCTGGGGTTCGTCGCGGACAGCAGCGGCGAGATCAAAGTCCGGACGCACGTCGCGACGCAGACCAAGGAGGATCTCAGCGGCGGCGCGAAGCGCGGCTTCGGGCTGCTGCGCGCGATGACGACGAGGGACGGTCAGGGCGGCGGCGAGGGCGAGGGCGGCGGCGACGCCGCTTCGCACCCCTCGGAGTCCGCCGCGACGCGCGAGAGGCGCGCGCGGTCGCAGCTGGACGTCGGCAACGTCATCGAGCGCGCGCGCGCGAGGCTCGCGGAGGCGCGCGCGCAGGGCCGACTGCACCCGGACGCGGCGCCGAGGGCGGTGCTGCTCTCTCGCGGCGCCGGCGAGAACGCGGATCCGAACGCCGCCGACGGTCACGGGTCCGGGTCGCTCGCGCGCGCGTCGTACGACCGCGACCGCGACCGCGTCTCGCGCGCCGCCGCGTCGCGCGGGGAGAGGGAGGAACGAGAACGAGAGCGGGCCCCGCCGGCGTCGAGGCGCGACCGCGTCGTCGCGACGCCGCCGAGGGCGGCGGCGCGGGCGCCGCGGCCGGTGACGCCGCCGGAGGCGACGTTCGTGGACGACGCGCTGCGGCGCGTCGCCGACCGCGAGGTTGCGCCCGCGGCGTCCGTCGACGACGCGAGCGGCGGCCGCCGGCCGGTGACGGAGAGCGTCGACGTCGACGACGTGATCGAGCGCGCGAAGGCGAGGATCGCCGCGCGGCGGTGATGGCGTTGGTTCGCGACGATCGTAATATACATACACACAACATTTTCACGTCGCCACCGCGTTCGCCACCTTCCTTCTTAGTCTACCCCGTAGCTAGATCGACGACCTCGGCGATTTTTCCGGAAGGCGTGCTGTACAAAACAAAACAAAACAAAACAAAGCGAAACGACTTGTCCGTTCACCCAACGGCTCTTACTTATGGCAGAAGCACTTCTTCTTCGCACCGGCGTCCAAGTCTGCAATTCCCCCCTTGAACGCTTTGGCAACGCACGGGAAAGGGAGCGGAATCGCCATCTTTTTGAGTTTGTCGCTCGTGACCAGCTTGTGGCCGTCGGAGATGTGAACCTTGCTTTTTTTGCACCACCCAATTTTACCCTCTGCAAAGGTCACGGCGCGTGACTTCTGCTTGCATTTGCAGAACTTCTGTTTGCCGGGTGCGGGGTCTTCCCCAAAGAAATCGACGTCGCAGGTCACGGGAACGGGGACGGTTCCAAAGTCTTCCATCTTCAAAATTTTATAGGCTGCGGACAAAGAAGGAAAAGGTCCAGGCGGCGGCTTCTTCACGTCGAGTGTCTTATGAACAACCTTCTTCTTGTCCTTGAGGAGGGCCATGGGGAGGGTTAAATTCATGAGAGTCCCGAACTCCACTTTGTCATTTTCGCAGTAGCCCACGTCGTTTTCTTTGATAAGTGCCATTTTCGTCGGTCCAGAGCCGAGGTCGGCGATTTCCTTCTCAAGCTCGTTCGCGTCGTCTTCGCCGAGCTCACCGGTGGCCGACGCGCGCGCGTTGAACTTCTCGTACAGTTTCTCCACGCCGAGCCGATAGGATTCGGAGACGCCGGACTGCGCGTCGCCAAGCAGCGCGGGCTCGTCGACTTTCGCGGGGCGAACGGACGTCACCGCGAGAGCGCCGACGAAGACGCCGATGATGAGGGCAGAGGTGGTCGCGATTTTTTTCGGCGAAAATAGGGAGGTGTTCGCAGACCTCTTCTTCACGAGAAGCGGGCTCGTATCTACTTGGGCGGGTGCCATCGTGAGTGAACGCGGTAGGAAGGGGTTGTACAGGCCGATCGTATTCCGTCGGTAGTATGATCGTGCGCGTTGCGCGTGAGAGTGTTGCTCGACCGACACTTAGGTTTATGTTCTTGGTGCGACCTTTCGCAGGCGCGTTTTCCGTTACCCGAAAATTGTAAACCCTGCTTTTTGAGTCAAATCTCCATATCTGATCGTTTTGGTGTTTTTTTTTAACCCTGCTTTTTGAGTCAAATTCTCCATATCTGATCGTTTTGGTGTTACAGAAAAAGGGTTCGGCTCGTTCAAAGGGAAAGGTCGCGTCGCGTCGACGCGCGTCATCGCCGCCCGCGCTTCCCCTCGAACCCCGAGAGCACGCGCGAACGAAACCATGCCGTCTCGAAACGAGATGCCCGCGCGCGCGCGCGCGGAGCGCATCCCGCTCCTCAGCGGCGCGATGTACGACCCCGAGATCGGCGCGATCGCGGGCGCGAGCCCGACGAATTCCAAACCTAAATCGTCGCGATCGTTCGTCGCGCGCCACGCGACGCCGCTGTCGCTCGCCGCGTGCGGCGTCCTCGGCACCGTGCTCTTCCTCAGCGGCAGGGCGCATCACCCGGCGACTCCGGGCTCCGCGCTCGGCGCGGTCACGGACGCGCAGATCGCGGCGGCGATGACGAGCGATCTGCCCCCGACGACGACCACCCCGGACGTCGTCGCGGAGACGACCACCCCGGACGTGGAGACGACCACCCCGGACGTGGAGACGACCACCCCGGACGTGGAGACGACCACCCCGGACGTGGAGACGACCACCCCGGACGTGGAGACGACCACCCCGGACGTGGAGACGACCACCCCGGACGTGGAGACGACCACCTCAGACGTGGATACGACCACCCCGGACGTGGAGACGACCACCTCAGACGTGGAGACGGATCCGGCCCCCGCGCCGGACGCCACCGAGGCCGCGGCGGACGAACTCACCACGCAATCCATGGACGAGCTCGCGACTCATGACAACGACGTCGCCGCGGAACCCTTGGACTCCGCCCCGGACGCGGACGTGGACGTGGACGTGGACGAGCCCGAGCCCGCGCCCGAGCCCGCGCCCGCGCCGTTGGTCGAACCCGTGCCCACGCCCGTGCCCGAGCCCGCGCCCGTGCCCGCGGACGATCACATGCCCGCTCTCGTGCGCGAGCCGGCGATGCTCCCCGACGGGTTCGGCGCGAAGCTCGAGGAGATCGGCGACATCGATCACGGCGTCCGCTTCATCGAAAAGTGCGGCGTCCCGAAGGACATCGTGGACTACCTCGGCAAGGACGCGTCCAAGATGGACACGCTCGGGGACTGGATGGCGAACCACAGGGCGTACCACGACTTCGACGCGAGCACGGAGCTCAAGGAGATGGAGCGCGCGTGGAAGGCGACCGGCAAGTGCCACGAGGAGGACGACCACGTCTCCGACGACGACCACGACGATCACCACGACAACGACCACGACCACGACCACGACCACGACCACGACCACGACGACGACGAGCCGACGGACCCGCGCGCGTTCACGAAACTCCACTTCCCGGGACTCACCGACGAGGAGGCGGACTGCGCCAAGTTCCTCGAGATCGACGGACACGCGGCGGTCAAGTGCGAAGACGACACGGCGGCGTGCACGTCCGCGGCGTGCACGAGGTTCTTCGCGAGGTTGAAGAACCACGGCGGCGGCGACGAAGCGCCCGCGGCGGAGACGCCGACGGAGACGCCGACGGAGACGCCGACGCCGGCCCCTCCGGCGCCGGTCGAAGCGCCCGCCGACGCCAACGCGACGACGCTCAGCGCCGCCGACGTCGCGCGCGCGACGGGCGTCGAGCTCAAGCGCGACGAGGCCCAAGACATCGCCGCCGCGGACGCGGCGCAAAAGGCGTACGAAGCCGCGGACGCGGCGCTCGTCTCGGCGAAGGAGAATGTTGCCCCCGCGAGACAACGCGCGAAGAAGATCATAATGGAGGCGAAGGCGAACGCGACGAAGATCGTCCACGCCGCGCAAACGGAGCTCGACGCCGCGAAGGCGGCGGAGTCTCACGCCGCGACCGCCGCGGAGGCGGCGGAGGAAGCCGTCGCCGCGGCGTTCACGCACGCGTCCAAGTGGCACGAGCAAGCGGCGGTGCCGAAGGATGCGAATCTCGGCGACGACGACCACGACCACGACCACGACCACGACCACGACCACGACCACGACGACGGCGACGCCGCGCCGGGGATAGAGGCCATCCACGCCATGATGAACCACGGCCCCGGCGCGACGACCGGAGGCGACGGGACGACGCCCGACTTCCACTTCATGGCTGACCGCGTGAAAGCCGCGAAAGAGGCGCAGGAGAAGCACCAAGCCGCGGTCGCGGCGACGACGGCCGCGCGAGCCAAGCTCGCCGCCGCGCTCGCCGAGGCGGAGAAGATCATGAGCGCGGCGACCAAGGAGGCGACGCGCGTCGTCGACGCCGCGCTCGCCGCCGTTCGCGCGGCGAAGAGCGCGGAGATTCAATCCGCGGCGGACGACAAGCGCGCGCTCGAGGCGGCCGCGATGGCGCTCCAGCACACCGCGAACGACGTCCACGTCGAGGCGATGCAAATGTCCAATTCCTCCGGGCCTCCGGAGCTGTGCCGCGACGTCGGCGAGCTGCCGCCGGGGTTCGGCAAGGTGCTCGAGAAGCACGGCGGCGTGAAGGACGGCGACGCGCTCGTCGCCAACTGCGGCGTCCCGAAGGACATCGTGGACTACCTCGGCAAGGACGCGTCCAAGATGGACACGCTCGAGGACTGGATGGCGAACCACACGGAGTACCACGACTTCGACGTCTCAACGGAGCTGCTGGCGATGGAGGCGACGTACGCCGCGACGGGGCACTGCTTCGACGCGCACGACGTCGCGCCGGAGCCCGCGAACGCGACCGCGACCGCGCCCGCGAACGCGACCGCGCCGGAGGAGGAGAAGAAGGAGGAGGAGAAGGGCGTCGTCGGCGGCATCAAGAAGCTCTTCCACCTCGGCTGAAGCGCGCCCGCCGGCGCGAGCGAAGATGTATAAGATACAGACAGGACTGTTCAGTGAACGAGCTACGCACGTTATCGATTGTTATTAATGACCTTACTTTAATCACGCGCCGCGCGCGCGAGACGACGGGACGGTCGGCGCGCTCACATGACCCGTCCCGCGTACGTCGCCCTCGGATACCGCGCCCGCAACCCCTCCCACTGCACGAACACGCGGTCCGCGATCCGCGAGTGGTACAGAATCTTCCCCGTGAGGCTCATCGTCTTCGCGCGCGCGATGGATTCAACGTACGCGACGGCGATTCGCTGAGGGCCGTTCCATACAAAGCGATGTCGGGGTGGAGTTGAAAGGCGTCAGAAACGGAGTTGAAAGGCAACGCGGGCGGGGATTGAAAGCGAGGTGTGGGCGGAGAGAGACGACGGCAAAAGTCCTTAAGGATCGGCGTTCACCACGGCGACGCGGTCGTATGGGGACCAGTGTATAGAACGCGCCTGATCGCGGCGCCCTCCCAGCGTAAAGTGCCCAACGTTCAGCGCCCACGCGGCGACGCACACGGGCAGGCACGTCCCCGGCCCGTTGCACAGGATCAGCTCCGGCCACTCCTGCCGCACGACGCGAAGCGCGACCCACAGCGCTCGGAGCGTCGTGAACGCGGACGTGACGAACGACTGCGACACCTCGCGCGCTCTCGGGACGACGCGCGTCGAGTGATCCGTCCACCGCGCGAGATCGTCGTCCGTCACGCCCTCCTCCGCCGCGAGCGCGTCGCCGACGCTCGCCTCGTGCGCGTCCACCTTGGCGGCGCTCGTGACGTCCGTGTCGCCGAGGACGTACGTCCTGGGGTGGTATTCGCGCGGAGGGAACGCGGCGAGCGCGGCGAACATCTCCGCGGTGTGCCCGCCGCTGCCGAGCACGATCAGCGTTCGCCGCGGCGCGTCGTCGTCGCGAACGCGCGGGCCCGCGGGGATGGGCTCGTTCCAGACGTACAGGTAGAAGACTTGGAGGAAGAGGATCAGAATCAGGAGGGGGGGAAACCAGAACATGAGGACGACGAGGAGGTCGCGCCAGTCCTCCATCGCGGCCGCCGCGTCCGTCCAAGTGACGACGTCGAATCGATCGATGACTTCACCGCGCACAGCTGTGAGAGAGTAAATTAATCACTACGACGCCTCCGCCGGCCGGGACGGGATGAGCCACGGCGTCGCGACGCCGCAGCACCACCCGAAGATCCTGCGGCACGAATCGAACGGGAACCCCTCGAGCAAGTTCGCGCCCCCCCATCGCTCCTCCACGCGTTTGATCTTCCCCGCCTCCGTCGCGTCGCCCCGCGCGTCGGATCCGTCGCGAATCTCATCGCCCCCATCGCCGACCGTCGTGACGATGATGTCGCTGCGCACGACGACGCCCTCCTCGCCCCCTATGAACGGCAGCGAATACCTCACCTCCGCGCGCACGACGTACGACGTCGCGCTCAGCGGCGCGATCTCGAACGGCGCCTCCGCGCGCGGCGCGAAGAAGCGCAGCGCGCGGAACGCCTCGGTCACCTCGCCGACGCCGACGCACGCCGCGGCGGGGTCCTCGAAGACGACGTCGCGCGCGAAGTGCGCGGGCGCGACGACGCCGCGGAGGTACAGGTCCTCGACGACGCGCCGGACGTGCGGCGCCGCGTTGCACTCGACGCACCGCTTTCGGCGACGTCTGGGCGGCGGCGGCGGCGGTGGCGGCGCGTCGTCGCCGGCGCCCGAGCCCGCGCGGCGCACGAACCATCGCTTCTCGCGCGAAGCTGCCTCTCGCGCGTCCTTCTCCGCTCGCTTCGCCGTGAGGCTCGCGATCGTCCTCGCCTCCTCCTCCGCGTCCACGCGCGCGCCGAAGACGCCCTGGCCGATCGAGCATCCCTCGACGACGGCGAACCCGGCGAACACGCGCGCGAGGAGCCCGAGCTTCGACGTGACGCGCGCCATTCGATTCTGACGGGAGCCTACGACGAGTGCGACCATGCAGACTCGTTCCGCTCGCTTTCGTCCTTCTTCATCGCGAGATTTTGAAAACGTCGTCGTCGTCGTCGTCGCGTTCGTCTCTTCTCGGCCGCTTCCGCGCCGTTCCGCCGCTCGTCACGAAGCGCGGGCTCAAGCTCGCGCTCGCCTCCACGACGAGGACCAGGCACACGAACACGAGCTCTGCACCCCGCCGTGCCGAAAATGCTCGCGCAGCTCGCCCACCGCGACGACTCGGACGCGGTGGACGCCGCCGCCGCCACCGCCGCCGCCGCCGCCGAGAGCGCGTTCGCGTTCTCCTTCCCGGGCGTCTTCGCCGCCGACGCCGACGCCGGCGGCCGCGCGACGCCGTCTCCGCCTTTCTTTTTCTTCGCCGTCGGCGGCGGCGGCGCGACGGCGTCCACCGCGTCCGAATCGTCGCGGCGGGCGAGCTGCGCGAGAATTTTCGGAACGACGCGCCTCGCCCACGCCGGCCACCGCCGCGTCGCGACCGGCAGCGTCTCGGAGTGCAACAAAAACGCGCGGATCGCGTCCGAGCCCGCGCTCGAGCTCGCGCACGCCCTGAACTCGTCCACGCTCGTCAGCCGCCGCGGCGGCGGCGGCGGCGGCTTCGGTCCTCCTCCTCCTCCTCCTCCTCCGCCGCCGCCGCCGAGATCGTTTTCGAGATGCGTCGAAAACGCCGTCGACGTCGCCAGCGCCGTCGCCGTCTTGTGCCCGACCCCTTCCAGCCGACACAGCGCCTTCACGAGCGCCTCCAGCGGGTCGTACTCCGCGGACTCCACGACGCCGCCGCGCTTGCACGCCTCGAGCTCGTCCAGGGTGTACAACGACGCGAGCGCGCGCATCGTGACCGGGTCGCTGAATCCGAAAAACAGCGGCCCGCTGAGGGACATTCAATACAAAAATTGGTCATCGGTCAGTTGAAAGACAATGCGATCAAATGTTGAAACCGAGCTACAGTATGGGTGAAATACAGTACGTTTGTATAGAACGCACCTGATGCGCGTCTTCAAGTTTTTCCGCACGCACACCGCCGTCCACGGCTTGGTGGGCGACGTCCCGACGAACGTCTCGCCGGACTCCTCGTCCGTGACTCTGAACACCGGCCCGGTCTCGCTCCTCTCGATCGTCATCACGAAATCTCGCCCGAAGTGCGTCTTGCGCGCGACGTATCCGACCGGGTAGGCGTGATGAAAGAGGCACCCTCTCGAGGACCAATACGTGGGCGCGAACGCCGCGCGATGCACTGACAGTATCGATACAAAAACATTTCACCGGTCAGTTGAAAGGGGACGCGATCAAATGTTGAAACCGACGGACGGGTCGGGTGAAAAACTTAAACTTTGGATGTTTAACGCACCCGACCCGAGCTCGAGGACGGTGACGCCGATGGACGCGAGCGAGAACGGCGCGACGATCGCGGAGGACGGGTCGTCCGCGGGGTCCGGGAACGGCAACCCCCTGCGCTTGATCTCGCCCTCGCCCGCGTCGGACTCGTCGTAGCGCGGCCGCTTCGGCGGCGCGCGAGCGACGGCGTCGACGTCGTCGGCGCCCTCGTCGCCGTCCGCGGCGACGCCGCGGAGGCGGCGCGACGCGCGCGCCGGCGCGCCCGCCGCGCCGCGCTTGAGCTTTTCGAGCGCGCGTCCGCGTCGCAGCCGAGGCCCGCGCGCGTCGCCGTCCGGGAGCGCGCCGCCGCCGCCGCCGGGGCGGGTCTCCGCGCCGAGCCCGGCCGCGGAGGCCATCGTCGCGAGCCCGAGCTCGGCCATGCGTCGCCGGTTCGACGCGATCCTCCGCGCGCGTTCCGCCTCGTACGCGCACATCTCGTCTGTCGCGTCGGCGGGGACGAGGTCGCGCGTCTTGGGGGGCATGGCGACGTCGAGCGTCTTCTCTCGCTCGACGTCCTTCGCGACCGCGCGCGCGCGCCGCGGGATCTCGCGCGACGCGCGTTGTTAAGTGCAGTGCGGGAAGTTCGGCGTCTTGTGGACGGTTATTTTTTTCGATCGACGACGTTCAAATTTCATCAGATCGCGACGCGCCGACCGCCCACGCCCGCGCGCCCACTCCGCGCCCGCGCCGCCGCCTCGCCTCGCCGCGCGTCGTTATCGCTTCGACGCCATGACGACCCGTCCCGCGAGCGACGTCGTCGCGGACGACGTCAAGCGCGCGCGTCGCGAATCCTTCGGCCCGTGGAGCGACCCGAGGAAGAAGTACCTGTACTATTGCCCGCAGATGAGAGACCTCGCGCATGCGATCGCGGCGCAGCCGTCGTCGCTGGAGATCACGCTCGGGGAGATCTCGTGGAAGAAGTTCCCGGACGGGTTCCCGAACCTGTTCGTGGACGGCGCGGAGAGCATCCGCGGCAAGCACGTCGCGTTCCTCGCGTCGTTCAACAACCCGGAGACGATATTCGAACAGATCTCCGTCATCTACTCCCTCCCGAAGATGTTCATAGCGTCCTTCACGCTCATCTTGCCCTTCTTCCCGACCGGCACCGCGGAGCGCGTGGACCGCGAGGGCGAGGTCCCGACCGCGGTGACGCTCGCGCGCATCCTGAGCGCGATTCCCGCGAGCAGAGGCGGCCCCACGAGCGCCGTCATCTTCGATATTCACGCGTTGCAGGAGCGCTTCTACTTCGGCGACTCCATCACGCCGTGCTTCGAGACGGGGATCCCGCTGCTGCTCGCGGCGATCGACGCGCTGCCGGACAGGGACGACGTCGTGATCGCGTACCCGGACGAGGGCGCGATGAAGAGGTTCCACACGTTCTTCGAGGGGTTCGAAGAGGTGGTATGCACGAAAGTCAGGCAGGGGGATAAACGGATCGTGACGCTGAAAGAGGGCGAGCCGAAGGGGAAGCACGTCGTCATCGTGGACGACTTGGTTCAGACCGGCGGCACGCTCGTCGAGTGCGGGAAGGTGTTGCAGAAGCACGGCGCGAAAGCCTTGAGCGCGTTTTGCACCCACGGCGTGTTTCCGAACGAGTCGTGGAAGCGATTCTCGGAAGGCGCTGCGAAGGTGAGACTGGTTCCCGTACGACCCCGTTCGCGATGTGAACGCCGTTTCTTAAGGACTTTCCCCGTCGTCGCGCTTCGCCCGCGCTTCCCTTTCAACGTACGTTTCGTTTGACTGGTGAGACGCACGATTGACCGACGCGTTCGTTCACTCCGGCGAAGGGGATGTTCGAGAGCTTTTACATCACGGACTCGTGCCCGCAAACCGTGGAGGTGGTCCAGGGCGTGGAGCCGTTCGTGGTGATGTCTCTCGCGGGGAGGATCGCGCACGCGCTAGAGATTTAAGGCGGGAAACGGCAGAGGGAGGGAGGGAGGAGGATGAGGAGGAGGAGGAGGTTCACTGATATTACACGCGTAGCTCGGACGTATCCATATTTCAACTGGAACGAAATTATTTACTATTTTTTTGCTCGCCGGCGCGCGCGCGGACGCCGCGCGCGTCGGCGTCACAACGCCAAGGTGGACAGCGCGAGGGCGTTATCCGCACCACCGGTGAGGACGACGTCCTTCCCCGGGTGCCAGTCCACGCACGTCACGTCGCCTCGGTGCCCGGGGATCGTGTGCACGGTTCCCCCGCCGCCGCCGCCGCCGCCGCCGCCGCCGCCGCCGCCGCCGCCGTCCAGACGAACGAACACCGCGTGCGTCTCGCGCGAGCTCAGCGCGACGCCGGCGCCGTTCGGGTCCACGGCCATGCGTATGCGAATCGCCGCGCCGGCGTCCTTCCCCGCGACCCCGCACGCGCGACTCGCGTCGACGACGCGCGTCGGCGGCGCGCCGCCGCCGCCGCCGCCGCCGCCTGCCGTCCTAAGCGACCACTCCTTGACCACGCCGTCGCCCCCCACGCTGTACACGCTCGTCTGGTCCGCGCTGAACCCTAAACCGGTCGCCGCGACGCTTACTCTGCCTACCCCGCCGTGATCCCACGTCGTGATGACCTTGCGGCTGTTCAGGTCGAACAAGACGACGCGGCCGTCGTCGCTTGCGGCGGCGAGGAGCTTCGAGTTGTGATTAAACGCGAGCGCGTGAATTAACGGCGCGCCGCCACGTGTGATACTACTTCTGCCGCGCGGACCCATCGCGAGCGCGTGCATCGGCTCGAACCGTCTCGAGTTCCACATCGTGATCGCGCCGTCGCGCGCGTCCGAGGACGTCGCGCACGCGAACACGTGCTCCGTCGGCGACGACCGCACGTCGTCGAAATTTGGGAAATTCTCGTCGCCCGCGGCGTCCACCGTCACGCGTTTCGCGTCCACGTTCCACACGCGCAGCCCGCCGCCTCGCGTGCCTATGAGCAGCGACGACGACGGCGCGACGTTCGTATTATACGTAACGGCTGAAGATGAAGCGTTACCGTCCCCGCCGCCGCTCCACTCCACGACCTGCACCTCTCGGCCGCAGTGAATCGTCGCGTTTCGCGCGCGCGGCGAATCCAACGCCTCGGCGGGCGTCCACACCCGCGCGGTGCCGTCCGCGCTGCCGCTCGCGACGTCGCCGCCGTCCGGGGAGAAACGCGCGCACGCGATCGCCGCGGAGTGCCACGATCGCGTCTCTCGCGAGGTCACCCTCGCGGGAGTCGCCGGCGGCGGCGGCGGCGGCGGCGGCGGCGGCGACGCGATCGAATCAGGGTCGTTCTGTACGAGCGAACGTCGGGGCGGAGTCGAAAGGCGTCGGGGGTGGAGTTGAAAGGCGTCGCGGTGTGTCGGGATCGAAACCGAGGGGTGATGGGCGGAGAGACACGCCGGGAGAGAAAGTCCTTAAGGATCGGCGTTCACCACGCGAACGCGGTCGTATGGGAACCAGTGTGAGATAGAACGCGCCTCGGACGCGTCGTCGTCGAGCCCGCCGCCGCCGATCCGCGCGGCTCGGTCTTCTCTCTCCTCGAGCGTCGCCCTGAGCGCGACGCACTCGAGCTCCGCATCGCGCGCGCGCTTCTCCAGCGCGCTCCGCCGTCGCCTCTCCTCCCCGAACCGCAGCATCGCGGGCGCGGGCGTCGCGCGGAACGCCTCCGCGAGGAAGTTGCGCGTCGACGCTCGCACGGCGTCGCCCCATCCTTTCGCGAAGTGCGCGCGGTACCGCGCGTCCTCCTCCGGTCGCGCGACGTAGCACACCGCGAACCACGCGTGCCACTCGTCGCTATTCGCCGCGAGGCGCTCGCCCTCGCGCGCGAAGAGCGCGTCGACGACGTCCTTGCGTCCGCGCCGCAGCGCGTGAACGATGAGGAGGCGGAGGATTGACGTCTCTAGCTTGGCGCACGCGGGCGCGAACGACGCGTCGAGGCGCGCGAAGAAGCGCGCGCGGAGGAGCGCGAGCGTGTCGCAGACGGCGCGGACGTCGAGCGCGGGGAGGTCGCGCTCGAAGAGCGCGTCCGCGACTCGGTCGCACGCGTCACCGCGCGCGACGTCGGCGTCGGCGTTCGCGTTCGCGGCGGCGTCGGCGTCGGCGTCGGCGTCGGCGGTCGCGCGGAAGAGGAGATCCGCGCGCGCGTCCGCGTCGAACGCGCGCAGCGCGGACGTGAACCCGCGGAAGAGCAGGTACTCGCGCACGAGCGCGTCCGCGTGCGGGACGTGGTCCAGGGGCGTCATGACGACGTCCCCGCGCCGAGAGACGGAAGCGCCGCGCGCGCGCGCCAATGCCAAGCGGCGCTCGGGTAACAACGAGTGTTTTGCCCTCTCGGCGCCGAGCGTGGTACGGAAGTACGCGTACGCGCGTACGGACGTCGTACGGGCAATCACCCTGGGGTGGCGAACGAATTTCATTGGCCAGCGCCGGATCCTATCGCTACCCCTCCGCGAAGAAAGACACGACGACGGGAACCGCATCCGACGCCGGCATAACCGCACACGCACCGCGTACGCAGCTCCACCTCACGAAAATGGCCTTCTCCCTCGCCGCCTCCACCTCCACCTTCGCCGGCGCGAAGGTCGCGGTCAAGCCCGTCGCCGCCCGCCGCGCGTCCCGGTGCGTTCCCCGGCGATGGATTTGATTTCCGCGCGGCTTTCCGCGACCGCGCTTTTCACGCGGGACCGAAGAACCCGGCATCGCGCGCGGGTCGCGCCGGAGCGACGCGCCTCCGCGCGCGATCGACGTCGCGCGACGATCGCCGCCGATCGCGCGGGATTCGACGCGCGCCGCGCGCGCCGTCTCGCGATCGCGCCGATCGACGCGCGCGTCGCCGACGCGCGCGCGGCGCGGCCTCGTCCGCGCGTCGCCGACGGCGAAACGCGCTCGCGTCCGTCGACCGATCGATCGATCCGTGCGCTATATTTCCAAGATCCGTCCGACCGACCCTCACCCTCACCCTCCCCGACCCCATCGAACGACGAACAGCGCGACCGCCGCCAAGGCCAAGTACGGCGACGAGTCCGTGTACTTCGACCTCGGCGACGTCGAGTCGACGACGGGCGCGTGGGACGTGTACGGCGAGGCGTCCACCGCGCGGTACCCGGGCCAGCAGGAGGCGTTCTTCGAGAAAGGCGCGTTCGTATTCGCACTGGTTCCCATACGACCGCGTTCGCGTGGTGAACGCCGATCCTTAAGGACTTTCTCTCCCGGCGCGCGTTTCTCTCCGCCCAGGGCCCCTCGCTCACGATCCCGACACACCTCGACGCCTTTCAACTCCGCTTCTGACGCCTTTCAACTCCACCCCGATATCATCGCTCGTACGGAACGACCCAAAGCCGCGCAAGGGCTGGGCCGCCGCGAGGCGATGTACTCGTTCCTCGCCCTCGCCGGTCCCGCGGCGTGCCTCGTGTTCGGAGGCAAGGGCGCGAAGGACGCGAAGCTTCCGATCACGGTCGGGCCCCAGAAGGAGGCGCCGCTCGGCCCCCGCGACAAGCTTTAAATCGATTCGGTTCGATCGTCTTCGCGAATGCGGAATGATGATGAATTCGGTTTGAAGCGCGCGACGGCGATCCGCTCGACGCGACGCGCGGCGACGCGTGGTCGAGCGGCGGGAGAGACGGCGAGCGACGAGATGGGGACGTGTCGCTCGTTTGTCGTGACGACGCGCGGTCGAGACTGTATGTAGAGAGAAATACACTAATAAACCCTCATAACTCGACGTGGTGGATACCTCCGCGGTGGGTCTCGCGCGCTAATCGCGCGGCGACCGACCCCGCGTCGCGCGCTAACGTCGCGTGGTACTCCCGCGTGTCCTCGTTTCCCTTCGCCGCCTCCTCGAAGAATTCCGCGAGCGCCTCGAACGCCTCGGCGCCGCCCGCGCGCCTCGCCGCGCGGTGCGTGCTCGCCGCGCTCTCTTCGTCGTCGCCGGCGTCCGCGTCCAACGCGGCTCGCACGGCGTGCATCGCCTTCTCGCGCGCGTCCGCGCTCCCTCCCGTCGTCATGTGAATCAAGTGCGGCATCGCCGTGTGCTTCAGCGCCCTCGCTTCTTTGTGATGAATCTCGTCGAAGCGAGCGCCTTCGCGGGCGTGCTGCTCCGGATCGGGCGACGCGAACAGATCCGCCGCGAGCGTCGCGGCTTTCACGCGCAGCCCCGGGTTCGCGTTCGGGTGCAACAGCTGCAACAGCGCGGTCGCCCCCCCCGCCGCGAAGAACGACCGCCTGCACACGTGGTCGTCGCGCACCATCTGCGACAGCGCGAAGAACGCCTTGCGTCGTCGAAGCTCCGGCGCGCTCTCGTTGACGGCGATCGTCGCGAGTTTCGCCTCCACCGAGTCGTATGCGTTGACGTCTGAGGCGCGGAGGGTGTTTGCCCATACGAAGCGACGAACGTCGGGGTGGAGTTCAAAGGCGTCAGAAGCGGAGAGTTGAAAGGCGTAGCGGACGGGGATCAAAACCGAGGGGTGATGGGCGGAGAGAAACGCGCGCCGGGAGATAAAGTCCTTAAGGATCGGCGTTCACCGCGCCGACGCGGTCGTACGGGGACCGGCGCGAGATACGTAGAACGCGCCCGAGAGATGATCGACGTCGCCGTGCTTCCCCCCGTGCGCCGCGTTCGCGCTCTTCGCGAGCGCGATCCTGTGCTCGGACTGCTCGCGGTGCTCCGCGCCGTGCGGCGGGTGCTCGTGCCGCGCGTGGTTCGCGGACGAGTAGATCTTATTCGGGTCCGTCGCGTGCCTGTCGACGCGGTGCTTCCTTCTGCCGCGACGATCGATCACGACGGCGTCCTCCGGCGCTCGCCACGCGTGCGTCATCGCGCGCACCCTCGGGTTGTTGCTCAGCGCGACGCCGAGGGCCTCCGCGGCGGCGGCGCCGACGGCGTCGTCGTCCTCGTCGTCGCCGACGCGCGTCGCCGCGCGAACGAGCGGGTTCAACGCGCCTGAGGGTCGAGGGTCCATGCGAGCGAACGTCGGGGTGGAGTTCATAGGCGTCAGAAGCGGAGTTGAAAGGCGTCGAGGTGTGTCGGGATTGTGAGCGATGGGCCCTGGGCGGAGAGACACGCCGGGAGAGAAAGTCCTTAAGGATCGGCGTTCACCACGCCGACGCGGTCGTATGGGAACCAGTGTGAGATAGAACGCGCCGAGCACGTGGAGATCGTTCGCGTTGTCCACCGGCCGGATCAGCTCCGTGAGCGTCTCGAGCGCCTCCAGTCGCCGCTCCACCGGCGCGGTCGCGTCCGCGTACACCGCGTGCGCGAGCTTGATGTACGTCTGCTCCGTCGGGTGCGCCGCGAGCGCGTCCAGGGCTTCGCGGACGTCCGCGCGCTTCTGGGACAGCTCGTCCTCCGTCCATCGCCGATCGACGACGCGCGCGCTCGACGACGACGCGGAGAAGGGGTCGGGCAGGGAGCCGCGGTCGCGGTCGCGGTCGCGGTCGCCGCCGCCGACGACGTCTTCGCCGTTCTTGACCTTCTCCGCCATCTCGCGAAGGCGCTCCGGGTCCGAGTGCTCGATCGCCCAGTTGAAGAGCTCCTGCATGGACATCCGCGCTTCTTCGCCGCCGCCTTCGCCGTCGGTCGTCGTCGTCGTCGTCGCGGACGACGTACCGAGATCCCAGTCCTTGACCTCGCCCACGGGCTGGACCCCCCCCGCGCGCGTCTGCGCGGGCGCGACGGCGAGGACGACGGCGAGCGCGAGGACGAGCGCGCGCCCGAGCGCCGCCATCGCGCGGCGCGTCATCGTATCGTCGGTCGCGCGGACGGGAGTGCGGTCGTCGCGAAGCGAACACCGCATGCATGATGAGAACTGAAGGAAAAAACCGCGCGTACGTGTTCGGGCCAATAAGCGCGCGGGCCGCGGGGGCGTCATCACAACGCCTCGCGCGCGCGACGGCGATGTGGCTTCGCCGCGCGGCCGCGGTCGCGTGGAGCGTCCCCATCGCCATCACGTTCAACGACGGCGTCGCGTCCATCGCGCGCGTCCCAGACGTCGGCGCCGTCGGGTGCGACGACGCGCGCGCGTCCGCGCGAAGTAGCGCCGGATCGGCATCGGAATCCTCCTCCTCCTCCTCGTCTCGATGCGAGCCATCGACGACGGCGTCGGACGGCGGCGAACCCGCGCCGTCGCCGTCGCCTCAACACTGCTACGTCCTCCTCGACCGGTTCCGCGCGCGGAGGCACATGTGGCGCCGCGGCCAGGTCGTGCACCTGCGCTCTCCCCACGACCCCGACGTCTCGCTCGCGCAGCGCCTCGTCGCGCTCGAGGGAGACTGGGTCACGCGACGCGACGGCGGCGGCGCGGTGGTGAAGATCCCGAAGGGGCACTGCTGGCTCGAGGCCGCGCACGTTAGTAAGGAGCTGGAGCTCGAGGTGGATGCGGCGGAGGGGCGCGGAGGACGGCGTTCCGCGGCGAGGGGGGGGGGATCCGGACCCGGAGACGGCGCGGCGATCGCGGCGGATGACGTCGGCGTCGCGCCCGTCGCGCTGCTCGACGGCGTCGTCGCCGCGGTCGTGTGGCCGCCGAGCCGGGCGGCGATCGCGAGGCGCGCGCTCTCGAGCGATCGCGTGCTGATGCGCGCGGAGCGCGGGACGGACGGGCACGAGTACTGATGATAGAAGACTAGCTATAAGTAGAGGACTAGAGCTAAGGCGCCGACGACCGAATTGAATGAATGTTCATCACGTGAGCCCGCGAGCCCCCGGAGAGCGCGGCGGCGGCGGCTTCTTCTCCTCGCGTCGGAAGTATATCGCGTTCGCGGTCGACAACGCCGCGTACGCGAACACGTGCCACGTCGCGTGCAGCAGCGGTGCGTCCGGCCAGATTTCCTCCGCGGCGAAGAAGAAAGCCGCGCCCGCGGCGGCGACGACGTGCGACCCGTATTCGCCCGTCGCGAACGACCAGTCCGCGCGTCTCTCATCATCTCTCGCCCCCTCCCCGCGCCCCACCACGCGCGGGTCCCCCGCCGCGCGGTCGAGCCGCTTCTTCCTCTTCCCGCCGCCGCGCCGGCGCGCCCACGCGGCGCGGAAGACCTCGCGCTCGACGAGCGCGCAGTGCGCGGCGCTGACGAGCAGCGGCGTCGCCGGCGCCGCCGCCGCGGAGACGACGAGGACGGGTCTCGGGACGTCGCATCGAAACGCGTCCGAGGCGACCGTCGACGCGAACGCGATGGAGGTGAAGTCCGCGTGTCGAAGGAGCGCGCGCGTCTTGTGGTTCCGCCGCGGCGCGAGGTGGTACGCCGCCGCGAACGCGCCGACGCCGAGCAGCGCGCGGCCCCATCGACGCGTCGCGCGGCGTCCGTCGTATTTCTTCGCATTTACATTTCTCGTCGTCGTCGTCGTCGTCGTCGAATCGTCGTCGTCGTCGTCGTCGTCCGCCGCCGCGCGTCGGAGCACGTCGAGCCCGCACGCGAAGAACGGGACGCACGTCGCCGCGTTCGCGACGCGCTCCAGCGCGTTGGTGTCCGTCCACCCGGGGTTCAGCTCCGCGGCGAAGAGCGCTCGGGCTTTTCGCGCGATCGATCGATCTCCCGCCGCGCGACGAGAGGCGCGCTCGCCGCCGTCGTCGCCGCCGCCGTCGTCGTCGCCGCCGCCGCCGCCGTCGCGGGTTTCTCCGCGCGCGGAGGAGGAGAGCGAGAGCTGGAGTATCTCGCGCAGCGGCGGCGCGCGGTGCGTCGTGTTGAGCGCGAACGGCGCCATCGCAATGCCCCGGGCGTCGCGTCGTCGCGTCGAGCGCTTCGTGCCGAGTTTCTCGGACCGATCGCGACAGGATCGCCCCGCGGCACTCGTCGGTGGCGCGCCGCCGCCCGCCCGCCCGCCGCGGTCCGTCTCCGCGATGAACGTCCACGCGATCGCGTCGCGCGCGCGCGCGCCGGTTCGCGTCTCGCGCGCCGGTTCGCGTCTCGGCTCGTCGTCGCGCGCGGCGTCGTCCGCCGCGCCGCGCGACCGCGCCACGTCAGCGGCAACGTCCGCGGTTATATCGTCGAAGCGCGCGCCGCGCCTCCTCCGCGGTGGCGTCGCGACGCTCGGGGCGCTGCCGTCCTCAGCCGTCGTCGCGATCGCGACGCCGTCGTCGCTCGCGCCGCTGGACGACCGATCGCCGTCGCCGCGCGCGCCGACGACCGCGACCGGCGGTCGTCGTCGCGGGGACGTCGTCGTCTCGCGCGGACTTCCGATCCCCATCATCGGTGGCCTATTTACGCCGCCGGTGCTGGCGGTGATGTACGTGTTCGTCTGCATTCGGTTCTGGCTCGGGTACAACAAGACGAGCTTCACGGAGAAGAACAAGGCGATGATGGTCGGGCTGTGGCCGGTGCTCGCCGTCGCGAGCGCGTCGTTCCGAGAGAACCTGAAGAAGGCGGCGTTCTAGCTAGCTACGTGTTACGAGTAGAAGGAGAGATTTTTTCATCTCGCGACTCGCCGCCGTCGTGTACTCGTACGGCCGCGCGCTTCCTTCTCACGTGCTCCCAAACTCCGCGAGCCACTCCATATGCCGCTCCACGTCCTCCTTGCTCACGCTGGGGGATATCCGCCGCAGCGCCTGGGTCATGTCCGACATCGTGATCGGCGCGGCCACCTCCTCTCGGCTCATCGCTCGAATCTCCTCCGGCTTCTTCCCGACGATTTTCCTCCGCATCCCGCACATCGCCGCGTCCCTGCACACGTTCGTGATGTCGTCGCCGCTGTACCCGTTCATGGACTCGCTGAGCGCGTCGAAATCGACGTCGTCCGCGACCTCGACGCCGCTGACGTTGATGTTCACGAGCGCGGATCGCGCGGCGCGGTCCGGCAGAGGGATGTAGATGCGCTTCTCAAGGCGTCGTCGCAGCGCCTCGTCGATGTCCCACGGAAAGTTCGTCGCAGCGAGGACCATCACGGGCGCGGCGGTCGACGCGCCGTCTTCCCCCCCCCCGCCGCCGCCGCTGCAGCCGTCGATCTGGACTAAGAACTCGGACTTGACGCGCCGCGACGCCTCGTGCTCGCCCGCGGCGCCTCGCGACGTGCACAGCGAGTCGATCTCGTCGATGAAAATCGTCGACGGCGCGTGCCGTCGCGCGAGGTCGAACAAGATTCGCACCATCCGCTCGCTCTCGCCGCGGTATTTCGACGCGAGCGTGGAGGAGGAGATGTTGAAGAACGTCGTCCCGCACTCCGTCGCGACCGCCTTCGCGAGCATCGTCTTCCCCGTGCCCGGCGGCCCGAACATCAGCACGCCCTTCCACGGCCGGCGGATGCCTTGGAAATAATCCGGCATGAGCAACGGCAGCACCACCGCCTCCTCGAGGAGCCGCTTCGCGTCCTCGAGGCCCGCGATGTCGTCCCATCGCACGCTCGGGGATTTGTCCAGGATATCTCTCGAGAGGCCGTCCGCGAGGTCGCCGTCCGGGCCGACGTGTTGCGGCGCGTTGCGCGCGCCGCGGTCGTCGCGATCGCGCGGGGACTTCAACGCCGCCTTGGCGCCGCCGCCGCCGCCGCCGCCGCCGTGATGCTGCTGTCCCGCCTTCCCGGCTCGCTCCGACCGCTCCCGACGCGGCCGGCCGTATCCGGAGGACTGGACGTGCGCGAGCGACGTCGCGCGGTTCGATCCGCCGTACCCCCCGCCCCCTCCCCCTCCCCCGCCCCCGCCGCCGCCGCCGCCGCCGTCGCCCGCGTTTCGTCGCGCCCACGCGGGGAGCCGATCGCTTCCGCCGCCGCCGCCGCCGCGCGCGCCGCGCGGCGTCGGCGTCGTGCTCGGCGGGCGCCACACGTCCGGGTCGACCTCGTGCGGCGGCCGCGCGTCCTCCCGCGCGTCCGCCGCCGGCGCCGCGCCACCCGCGCCCCCCCCCATCCACGTCAGATCCGGGGGCGGCGTCGCCCGCGGCGCGCGCGACGGCGATCCCGGGAGATGGATGAACCGCCCGCCCTCGCGCGATAGCGACGGCGACGACGCCGTCCCCGGCCGCGCGCTGAACACCGCGCGCTCGGCGGCGAGCGCGGCGACGGACTCGAGCTCGTCGTTGAGCTGCGACTGCGCGCCGAGCCATCGACGCGCGCGATGCGCGTCGGACGCGGACGCGCCCGCGCCGCTCGTCGCGCCGACCGCGCGGCAGTGCCGCGCGACCTGCGAGATGACGCCCTGGTAGTACACCCGCGCGGTGTCGTAATCGCCGAGCATCGCGTGCTCGCGCGCGATCGTGAGCTGGTCCGCCGCCGCGTTCAGCCCGGCGAGCGACATCGCGCGCGACGGCGACGACGACGACGACGCGCGCGCGGGGGATGTAGTGGACGCGGTTTTCAAAACGTCGCGCGTTGACCGGCGACAGCCGTGTCGTGAGAGCTCGTCCAAGAATAATACAGTACGGCCGTCGCGTCCGCGCTAGTGACTACCGCGCGCCCTCATCACTCGCGCTTCTTCGCCTTCGCGCCGCTCCGACCGCCGAACACCGCGTACCGCCCCATCCCCCCCGCGCGCGTCAGCATCAGACCGCCCCCGAGCGCGAGGTTGGTGACGAAGTGCAGACGCGCGTGCGCGGGGCGAAACGTCCCCGGCGCCCAAAATCGCCAGCGACTCGGGGTCGTTCCATACGAGCGAACGTCGGGGTGGAGTTGAAAGGCGTCAGTTGGAGTTACAAGGCATCGAGGTGTGTCGGGATTGAAAGCGAGGGACCCTGGGCGGAGAGATGCGCCGGGAAAAGTCCTTAAGAAACGGCGTTCACCACGCCGACGCGGTCGTACGGGGACCAGTGTATAGAACGCACCTCCACGCCTCGCCCCACAGCGTCCACGACAGCGCCCACGCGGTGAACGCCGGTCTGTACCCGATCGCGAGCGGCGCCGCGAGCGCGAACTGAAGAAGAAGCCAGCTGTTATCGTGCGCGTCGACGTGTCCGCGTCCGCGTCCGCCGGAAGCGGGCGCGGCGGGGGCGAGCGCGCCGCGCGCGACGACGCGACGAATTTGCGTCCAGCCGACGAAAAAGAGCGACGCCGCGATCGCCAGCCGCGCGCACAGAAGCGCGAGGCTCTTCCTCTTCCCAGCGGGTCTGATCGCGTCGTCGTCGTCGCCGCCGCCGCCGCCGCCGCCGCCAAACCCTAACCCTAACCCTAACCCTAACCCTAACCCTCCTCCTAACCCCGACGTCGTCGGACTCCGCGCGCCGCCGCCGACGCCGTCGAACGCGTCGAGCAACCCTCTCGCGCTGCCGCCGCCGCCGCCGCCGCCGCTCTTCTCGTCGCGCGCGCCGCGAATCTTCTCCCGACGCGCGGACGCGTGGACGACGAGCAGGCACGTCGCGCCGAACATCGCGAGCTTCTTCATCGCGAGCTCGTTCGGGTTCAGCGAGACGAACCACGGCGGAGCGCCGGCGAAGAACGCGTCGGCGACGACGCGGAAGGAGTCGCGGACGTCGTAGAGAAGCGCGCACGCCGCCGCGCGCGTCGGGTGCCGGTCGAGGAGCGTCGCCGTCGTCGCGACGACGAGCGCGAGCGCGAGCCACGGGATGCCTCCAGACGACGATGCTGACGTGGCGTATGCTGACATGGTGTCGTATGCTGTCGTGTCGTCCCGCGATTGGCCGCGCGCGCGGAGATACGCGCCCACCTTGTCCGCCGCGAGGTCGTAGTAGTACGACGCGACGAGCGCCCGCGCGATGAGAAACGCGTCCGCGGATCGGTCGAACGCCCTCGACGCGGCGATCAACACGCCCAACCGATCGCGCGGCGTCGCGCGCGACGCGCACGCGTCCTTCGCGACCGCCGCGACCGCGCCGAGTCGCGATCTGATGAGAGTCGTTCCGCGCGAAGCGACGAACGTCGGGGCGGAGTCGAAAGGCGTCAGGGGTGGAGTTGAAAGGCGTCGCGGTGTGTGCGTCGGGATTGAAAGCGAGGGGTGGGCGGAGAGACACGTCCGGACGCGCCTGAGCGCGGCTGCGAGGCGAAGACGCGCGCGCGACGCGCTGAGGCGCGCCTCGACGCGGAGCTCGAAGATCGCGTCCGCGACGCCGCCGCGCCCGCGCGCGCGCATCGGCGACCCGCCCGCGCGCGCGGACCCGGTCCCGCCGGGCCCCGCCCGCGCGCGGACCTTCTTCGTCAACGACGCGAGCCACGCGACGGCGGCGACGACGACGGCGAACGCGACGACGCGCAGATGCGCGTTCTGTGTCGCACTGGTCCCCGTACGACCGCGTCGGCGTGGTGGACGCCGATCCTTAAGGACTTTTGCCTCCGCGGCGTCGGCGTCGTCGGCGTCGTCGTCGTCGTCGTCGTCGTCGTCCGCGAGCGACGTGGTCCAGGGTTCCTCCTCCTCCTCCTCCTCGTCGTCGTCGTCGTCGTCCGCGCTCGCGTCTTCTCTTTCGTCCGAGCGAGGCGCGTCGTCGTCGTCGTCGTCGTCGTCGTCCGTCGGACGCGGGCGCGGGTCCGCCCACTGCGATTTACGGTGCTTCACGTCGAAGTAGTACGACCTCCCCGTGCTGTCCTCGACGTGATGCTGCCACTCCTGCGATGGCGTCGGCGGGGAGGTCGCGGGTCAGGAGGGACGCGCGCGATGACGGGAGGGGCGTCGGAGCCGCGGGGCGGATCCGCGTCCGATCGAATCGAATCGAGTCCGAATCGACGCGCGCGCGCGACGACGCACCGCGCCGTCGAGCGTGAACGCGTCCTCGAACCGAGCGTCCGCGCTGGACGCGAACGACAGGGTGATGCACGCGAGGAGGAGAATCGCGGACGCGACCGCGCCCGCGACGCGCCGCGCGAGACGCGCCATCGCGAGCGCGCGTTGGTCTTCGTCGTCGAGCGGAGAGAAAGTTCCAAGAGAAGTTCGTTGTTCGTTCTGTTCGCTCGGAGCGCGCGTTCGACCGACCACCCAATCTCGTGGTCGATACCAGTGTAATGTGCTTGGTTTCGGAAAGCGCGCGTACGAGCAAACAGCCCGAGAGATACGCGATTTCGTACTACGCGTCAACTTTCGCTGTGAGCCCTTCATTTCGCGTGCGCACGAAATCTAATTCCCCTGGACGGCGCTCGCTCGACCTCTGACGCTAACATCGCTCGCTAACATCACACCACCGACGCGCGGCTCTCGACGCGCGCGACTCGAACACGCACGCGCGTTCTTCCCGGAACGCTCGGAGTCGACGAACCGTCGACCGCTCCTAAAACGCGCACGGGTTCGAGACCCGGAACGCGTCGAACGAGGACGCTCGCGCCGCGCGAAGCGCGTTTTCGTCTCGCGGTAGGTCGCGCGACCACGCAGCATCGCCATCGCCGCGCGCCGCTCGTCTAAACGCGCGCCGAGGACCCCCGCGCCGTCGCGCTCGTCGAAACCGAAGCGCTCGAGAAGGATGGTGGAAGGAAAGAATTCGTCCGTGTGGACGGCCAAAGAAGACGCCGAGCTCGCGCGTCTTCAGGTGCGCGCTCGCCCTCGCCGCGCGACACGTCTCCTCTCAGCCGCTCCCGCGCGAGCGGCTGCGGTTGTTATTTCACTCCGCGGCGACGCGCGCGATTCCCGCGCGCGCGCGCCTCGAATCACGCCTCCCGCGCCTCGTGCTCACGCGCGCGCGCTTCCTTCGCGAATTCTCAGGAGATTCACGGGAACCGATGGGCGCTCGTCGCCGCGGAGCTCCCGGGAAAGACCGGACAGCAGTGCGCGCAGCGATGGCGACACAAGGTCAACCCGAATATAAAGAAAGAGAAGTGGACCGCCCAGGAGGACGAACTGGTGCGTCCGCGCGCGCTCCCTTGGCGTCGCGATCGCGCAGTTCCACGGAGTCGGTTCTCATCGCGCGCATCTTTCGACTCCGCGCGTTCGCGGGCGCGCGCGACGTCGCGTCGCGCGCGGCGACGCGCGCGAGATCGCGCGGCTGGACGCGAGATTTTCCCCGTCGAACGACGCAGGGCCGCGCGTTCAACGCACAGCTGTCGTCATCTTCATTTATTCTTCCGCGGCGCCCCGACCGCCCGCGCGCCGTCGCATCGCGCCGACCCCTCATATCTCACCCTCCATCCCCCCCTCGATCCCCCATCCCTCCCTCCGACAGCTCTCGCGCCTGTACGAAGAGCACGGCCAGCGATGGGCGGAGATCGCGCGCCACCTCGAGGGCCGAACCGATCAGCAGTGCATGGGCCGGTGGCGGAGGCACCTCGACCCGACGGTGAAGAAGGACGCGTGGAACGACACCGAGGACCACGAGCTCATGCGATTGCACGACAAGCTCGGCCCGCGGTGGAGCAACATAAGCAAGATGCTCACGGGGAGGACCGCGCAGCAGTGCCGCGCGCGATGGTTCCAGCTGTCCGCCGCGGAGGCGAGCGCGGGGGACGACGACCGCTCCGTCGCGTCGGCGCCGGACTCGCCGAAGAAGGGCGCCAAGGGCGTCGGGGGCGCGGGAGCGAAGCGCGGCGCGCGCGGGTCGACGCCGCCGATCTCTCCGTCCACGCCCGCGAACACGGACGAGTTCGACAACGGCGGGACGGTGTCGTCGAAGCGCGGGCACGGCGAGAGCGCCAAGTCGGCGAAGGGCGCCGCCAAGGGCGGCGGCGGAATCGGCGTCTCGCCGGGCGGGTCGCCGAATAAGAAACAGAAAACGCTGAAGGACGCGATCGCGCAGCGACGCGCGGACCGCGAGGGGAGCGACGGCGGCGGCGGGTCCTCGCGGTCGTCGGGGACGCTCGCGGACGGCCTCGGCGGCGCCAGACCGCTGACGCACCCGGAAGGTTTCGGCAACGGGGGCGGATTGGACATGCTCGCGATGCTCTACGCCGCCGCGGTGACGTACGAGCGAGGGTTCGGCGGCGGCGAGGGACAGGGCGCACAGGGCGGCGCGGTCGCGGTGCCGTCCGAGGTGAACGCGTGAGCGCTCGACCCGAGATGTACATACGCGGGACGCGGGAACGGGAACAACGGGATTCTTTGAGCCGTCGGGCGACGGCGGCGGCGGCGGCGACGACGACGACGTGCGCGCTTCGCGACGCGGCTTCTTCCACCGAACGCGGTGCCCGAGAACGAACCGATATTATCGTTCGCGGGCGACGCGCGAGGGAGGGGGGAGACGCGGCGCGTTCGACGGCGCGCGCGACGACGACGCGACGCCGCGACGGGGTATATATTGGGGCAGATGGGATTTTTTGGGTGGAGCGGGGGGAAGCGCAATTTTTTGCCGCGGCGACAGCACGCACGCAGGTGTACAACAGAACGACAAAACGACAACCTAGCGAGGAACAACACTAGACAACAACAACGATCCCGAGCATATCATAGCGGGTGACAAGCCGTGCTGGCCTTCTTTAATACATACGAAAGTGTTAAGAGAGAAACGAACGCGTCGCGCGTCACTCGTCAAATCGTTCGGCTAAAGGTTTTTTACAAACGAGGCGATAGGGCTACGAACGCGCGTGCGGATGCGGACAGCGCGAAGAGAGAGCTGCGACGACGACGACGACGACGACGACGACGACGACGACGCGGGACGAACGCGCGCGCGGCGCGGCGCGTCGCGCCGAGTCTGCGCATAAACAGACCCGGCGCG